GTACTCGTAATTCTGGGAAAAGATTGGATTTTTGCATTTCTGACAGGTCAGTCAAAGTGAGATTTAGCTTCATCTGTGAAGTGACCCACTTGTCTGTGCATCTCTAATGTTTTTTTTGTCCAGAACTCAAGCCCATTTTCAGTTGATTGTCCAGACTGACTCTCTAGGAACTTGTCTTTCAGACTACAGTGTCTTAATTTTACAGGCAGCCCATGTGTCCGGTGATTCAGATATGATATTAAAAATGTTCCGACATAGTCTTTAACTTCTAATCCCTAGGTTAGAAGCATCTGATGTAGGGACCGGCAGTTTGTAACTTCAGACAAGTGCAGATCTGGTGGCTGACACTGCACCCTTTGTAACCCACCCAACCCAAAATGCTCCCCCTCTTTGACCTCCTACTCTTCATAGCATCTGGGTTATGCACACACATGGTTAGTCACGGCCTCCAGGTGCCCCTGAGCGCCGTGGTGTGCCACAAGAGAACCCAGCAAGAGGCGATAACCCCCCCAGACACCCACGACGGGCCAATAGGTGGATGGTGGCAGCCACTTTTCCTGCTTTTAATTTCTGTTTCTCGCCCCCTGCCTAGCCACACAAAGGCGTGCCTGACTGTACCTCTGCAGCGCACACAATGAGCTCCTGAGTGCCTCCATTCACTCCTCAAAAGGAGCTTAATCACATGGTGTTAATTGGCTGCGATTAAAACACTTTCCCGTTTCCTCAGCAGATGTGGGGAAAGGTTTTTGTCTGCTTGTTTCAGCAGCAAACTGATGCTAACAGGCTTCCTTATGGTTTTGGGCAAGACTCAGATCAACTTGTTCCTCTTGATTTGTTTTGTTCTAATAAACACGGCTGAAAGAACAGCACATTCAGAGCAGTAATTAATCCAAGTGTGCGACGAATATTTTTGCGTTTAAGATTAAATTGAAATATGTGAATGTGTTTTTGTTATTGTGTGTTAGGCAATAAAATGTGTTTTTGAAACAAGAATTTAATTGTTTATTTGCATTTTTATGTATTTCTAGTATTGCAAAATAAAAAATAAAAGCTTCAACGAAATATCAACAAAATGTCCCAATTTTCTTAGCCGATTAATCGGTTAATCATCAAAAATAATCAATAGATTCATCAATAGCTAAAATAATCGTTAACGGTAGCTTTACTTTTAATACCAGAAAGAATAGTTCATACGTTTTCAGGATACTACAAAGGCAAGGCAGCATTTTCAGCAAAGTCCATGAAAAAAACAGCGAGAGGTTTGATTCATGTTTTATGAGCTTAATCTTACAGCTCATCCATGATGTATGAGTACAAATCATCCTCCTTGGGGTGGGGAGTATCATAATCTCTGACAGCTGTGTCCACCCGCAGGAGGCACGACAGGCATGCGTGCGCGTTGCCGTGCTTATGACTTGCTCTGCAGGCGTGTTTGTGTCAGGCATACAGTCGCAGAATGTCTTCCATTCAGCGGGTCAGCTGCAGTCTCAGTGTGCAGCATATAGCTCGTCAGCTGCAAGACCCGTGTGCAGGACAGCTGTCTCCGCCAACACCCTCACCCACCTGCCCCTCTACACCCCTCCACATTTTTATTTTTTTTTTCTGGCTCTTCGATCTTGCTTGCATTCACCAGGAGGCCTTTCCCCTCCCTACTTAGACAATTAATCAGACAGCAATTATGCGGGGTAATTGGCATTCGATGTTGAAAAATGGCCCCGGGATGATAAACTAATGATATTTGCAACACGGTTGCTTCCACTGGTGTCCTCCTCCCGCCTTGCATTCCCAGCAGAGTCAGACCTATTAACTCTGAACCTCTGGGACAGAACAGAGCAGAACCTGGAGGTAATTTTTTGAGTTAAGCCTTCAGTTTGAGTCACAAGCGACGCGAAGATCTATTAATAGTTGAAACAGGGAACACGGGGAAATACTCTAGACACAATTGTTCAATTTTCACTCAACATATTCCCTCTTTGTCCCCGGGGGACAAAGAGGGAATTCCCCCACCTACTGGCAGACCAAGGGTACTGCAGAATTACAGAATCAAAATCTGAACAACTAAAGCTCATCCTTCAAATCATAAAGTACTTGTGAAAACAGTTTAAGGGCATTTGTAGAAGAATGAACCTTTAAAGAGACAGTGTCATGTATTTTCATAGTGACATTTTATATCTCTATCAAGTAGCTATGTTACCTTCGGTTGTTGTAAAAATGCTATATGTATCAAATATATATGTGTGTGTGTGTATGTGTGTGTGTGTATGTATGTATGTAGAAATTTGACTTTGTAGTTTAACACCTTGAAATTGCTGTCTCTTTGACAAACTCCTGCTCTTTCTGAAACTTTTCCTTCAGGAAGTCATCACAACATGACTCTTCTATTAATCCTCAAACCACACTTTTTATTTATTTATGTATTTATTTTTACCAGCGTTGCACTGAGAATTAGCATAATGAGCTCTGCTGATGCGTAGTTCCACCAGGTGTTAACTAATTGCTGCTGGCTAGTCTGAAGGAGCTGACTCGGGGAGTTACGGCGGAGGGCTGCTCTCTGACGCAGAAGGACAGAAGTTCGGAAACAGCTGCTCTGGGGAGGAGACACGCCTCGAGCTGAACGGCTGCCATGGAGATGAAAAGTTTCTCAAACATGTGGGAAAGAAACAACGGATGTGTGTTTTTGACGAGGGAATAACATTAGAACTTGATGTAAAGCTGAAAATAAGTGGATTTTACATAATATTGTCCCTGTTAAGTTAGTGACTTATGTGTTGACACTCCAGGCACAAACGTCAGGATGACTACAGCGTGAAGTCACAGTGCCGACTGCTCCTGTGCCAGGCTCGGGACAACAAGAGGCTGAGAAACAGCCTGTATAATCACATGCAAAGGCAATGGGTGGTGTCAGAGGATATTCAACTGGTTTATGTAAGGAGTGTCTTAACTTGTAATAGTACTCGTCTTCCTTCGGCTTCCTTCCGCATTTTTGTCATGTTAAACTTCAGTTCATGTTGTTGAGATTTTTTGTGATGGAACAACAATGCAAAGTTATGCATAACAGTAAAGTGAGATGAAAAGGACTGAACGATTGCATTTTGTTAAATAAAAATCTGCAAAGTGACGTGGAAATTTGCGCTCAGGCCTGAAAGTCAATACCTTGTAGAGTCGCCTTCTGCTCCAACTACAAATGCAGGTTTTTCTGGCTGTCTCTGCGAGCTTTGCACATCTTGAGACGGAAAGTTTTACCTCCTTTTCTTTTTGTGAACTAGCTCGGCCTCACAAAGCCTGTCTCCACTGGTAAAATTAATTAATTTTCCAGCACGCCTGATGTTTATTGGTAAGCTACAAAGTTGCTGCAAGTTTTTGTTTCTTCTTGCCATTTTTTTTATTTATTTAAAGGTTTAGAGGACCTCTTTGCTACAGAAAATATATTTTTTTATATTTACAATGAAAAACCAAGATGTCTACATTTATGTGGCCTCTCTACATCTATTGTAGGCGGCGTACTTAATTTCCAACCTCAGCAAAGAACTGTTTGGTTGAATGTATTAGGGATTTGGATGCAGACTTTATTCTGACGAGTTACGTGTGGATGTATCAACGTTTGAAGCTAATTTTCAGTCTGTAGTTTCAGTAAGGCTTTTATGGAAGTAAATATGGGATTTTTTTTAACAAATGAAAATTGCAACCATGTACAAATAATGACACTGACATTTTTTTCTACATAGAAATAATGACAATGAAAATTCTTTTAGGTTAAAAACATATTCTGAATACATTTCGACACTGAAAAAAGTAAGTACAAATATACAACATTCAATCTGGGCCTATGATTATAATGTTCGATTAAAAGTAAAAACAAAGAAAAAGAAAAGATAATCTTTACCGCCGCCTTTTGACAAAAAATTAGGCCCTGGCGACACTGTCATTTGAAGCCCATTCGAAAGTCAGGACTAGCATCCATCCATCCATCCATCCATCCATCCATCCATCCATCCATCCATCCATCCATCCATCCATCCATCCATCCATCCATCCATCCATCCATCCATCCATCCATCCATCCATCCATCCAACCAACTAACCAACACATCCATATTTCCAACACATCAGTCCATTGTTCCGTCAAACGTTGTTTAGATTCTTAAACTCTCTTTGAGTCTGAGGGTCACGTAAACAAACCGACAGATGTAGTTTCCAGATGAGCCGCTCCATCCCACTGGCGTTCCTCTAACTCGTTTTAGCTGAATCAGGTGGCGTGTGATCTGCAGCTCTACAGAGGAAGACGTTCCCCGGTGCATGTGCACGTGTGTATGTGTGTTTTCCTCCCTTGTAGTTTCACTTTGTTGTTTTCTGCCATGTCAGTTCTATCTGCTGGCTCAGACAAAAGCAATTATTTTTAGTGCTGCCTCACAACACAACGGGTGGGAACGTCTGGTCTGCTCTGCTCTGCTCAGGAAATCAGCCCCACACCCTGTGCAGACAATGACATTTAAACACTGAAATAAAATGGGGGGGGGAAGAAAAAAAGGTGGAGAAATGTTTGTCATTTACGAAGACTGAATGTGCAAACACCCTCTGCAATTCGAGGGTGTGTTGGGCGTAGAAATATGTTGGGTGCAGAAGTCTGGAGGTTTGTTTCTGTGCGGTCAGTGTTTGAGTTTTTCCCTTCTTCTTCTTTAAACGTGGAGGGGCAGACGGAGATTTTGCGGCAGTGGGCCTCTTGGTTCTGTCCTGCCCTCCCCTGCACTCTGAGGCAGTGTTTTGGACCGGGGCCCAGCACCGAGCCTAAGGCGCACTACTCCGCTCCAGCCTCTCCAGAGCGCCGACTCACACTGACATTACATCAGCTCGGCAGACATAGTAGACCAGTGTGTGGATGCTCCTTGCAGCTTGTTGCTTCAAAGCAAAACAAAGTGCTCTGTGGATCGGCCGATTGACTTGTTCCTGGACACATGAGGTCCCGTTGCTAGAGGGTAGACGCAGTCTGGCCGAAAGAGGAGACTACGGGGGCAGGGATGGCCGTGCGCATCATACGTGGACTGGAAGACCTGGTGGCGTCGGGGAGCCAGCTCGTCTGGAACCTGGCGCACGAGACGCTGAGGACGTGGTACAGTCGTGGGCTGATCCCATGCAGGCGCCTCTTGGAATCCTGGTTCAAGATAGGAAAATGCTACCAGGTAACGTTCACAGCTTAGGACGAGAAAATTGTGACAAGCATCTTTTTTAGTTTTGTCTCAAGTTACGTTCTTATTGCTTAACTTTCCTCAAATCAGCTGCTGTTTTCTTTCTTCTTTTTTTCCGTCATGGCTCATAATTGTGTGCCGTGTTTATTGTTACGAGGACCAGGCTTCCTCCGGTTGAGTCACAAAAACAGATTTTTTTTTTTTTTAAACAAGAGTCCCTCTGCCTTGCACATATGGCAGTCATTTGAAAAGCAGCACGAAATGTTGTTTGATCTCACTGTCTGTCTGCATGGCTTAAGAGGGGAACTTTGAAACGTGTCGATGCTGAAACACCTGACCTGAGAGTCAAGAGCTCTCTCTGTTTTGTTCTTAATTGTGTGACGAAACCATCTTCATGTAGTCTGAGAACTTTCCCAGTAAGTTTCCTGCTAAAAGCACCACCTGAAACTGCATATAGTGAAGATGTTTATTAATTAAAAGGGAATTTAAGAACTCTCTTACAATATTTTTATAAAGAGGTCGGGAGTCATTGGCTCTTGATGTGTCTGCTTAATTTGGACCTCTTGAAACTCGTTTTCTCTGAGCAGTGCAATTTATTGGGTCGGTAAGCTATTTATTGGTCCGCCATATTCCAGAGAGCGTTCAATTATCACTGGCGCACTGATATGTCTGGTTCTTGTGGCAAGCATCAACGTTATATTGTTCCCCAATCAATAGACTGTGTTGTGACAACAGTTGCTCCACCCTGACCATACAGTACAGTCGTCCTATGGACCTACAACTGAATGGGGTGTGGAAAGTGTATGGGCCACTTTTACAACAGAAACTGGTGTAAAACAGCACCGATTTGTGCCTTACCTACCACTCACTGGAAATGGTTCATAAAAATGTATTAGGTATGTTCAGTTAACAATTTAGGCCCCAAGCATCACCAATAATCAGTGAGATTCCCTATGGCTCTCTCCTAGGCCTACTTTTGTTTATTATGTTAATTAATTAGTCATTTGTATGTTAGTTAACTTTGTCAGTGTAATTAAAATATTGATTATTCATCTAAATGTCTTTTTTTTTACATTAGTTTTGGCTTACCTTGGTAAACGTATGTAATAAAATAATGTAAACTGCTTCTTCGTCTCATAAAGGAAAAACCCAAACAGCTGATTGGTTAATCTGCACAGAAACTCAGCCAATATAGACCAGTCACATTTTTACAGTATATTTTAGCCTGCTGAGTGAATCTACAGTAACGTGGCGAAATCACATAAATTTATGAATGTTCTGCAGTACATGACAAGAAGGCAAAAAAACCCAAAAATATATTTAGATTAGATTTAAGTAACAAAAAATACATTTAGTTTGTGTTTTATTAAAAATAAAATGTATTTATTAATTTGTATTCATGTTTGCCAAAACATCTGCAAGCTTAAATATCAATTTGTCTGGCAGAAACTGTTGAGTTTGTTGCCGCCTTTTGATCAGAGGACACAGACGAGAGGCCCGGCTGTACCTGCGGCTTTAGGTGTGTTGCTCAGGTGAAACTCGCTGTGTGGTTTCTTTACATCACAGTGATGGAGAGCGGAGGGACATGTCTACTTGAGTTTCTCTACACCATTTTCTGTACGAAGTTATTCCCCTCCACTAAAAGGAGAATTTGAAAGAAAAATAACAGGAAAGCTGTTATTCCCTGTTTCTCCAAGAGTAGGTGCCATTAGTTCCCATGTAGGTTTTGTTGTTCTTGCTAATTTTACTAGAGACACTTTTTTTTGCCTCCTGCGAAACACAAGAGTTAAAGCCCAGGACCTCTGAGCCTGTGCAGCTGTCCGAGCTAACGATTAGCATCGTGCTAACTTGGCATGACCTCCGTTGTAGAGTCGAGCGCTGCTTGCAGAGACGTCTCTTGTTGTGGTTTGGGGCAATAAAAAAAAACAAACAAAAAAAAAAACAAAGTGGGAAAGCAGCTTGTGCTGCTGTTAAAAGTGAAATGACAGCTTTGCTATGGCGCTTAAAGCACCCTCTGGAGAGATGAGGTTTGGAAAATAACAATTAACAGGGCGTCCTCTGGCCTTGTGGTCGAAGGAGCTGGACTTCAATGTAACCATAACTTTCCAGCACTAGAAACCGATTAGCTTAACACAGTGTTTTTCACTGACGTCAGAGAATTAAGAATTAAGCCTGAGAAAATATGTATAAATAGTAGGTCAGAGATCTTTGATGGTGGTTGAAGTAGAGCCACAGGCAGAGAGGCAGAGACGAGGAGCGGTACGGTGGAGGTTTAATGGAAATAACGGTGAAAACCGAAAGTTACAGGTAGCCAGATGAACACAAACAAAACTGGAACTGGATTAAAAAGGAGGAACCAGCAAGGAGCGTCAGCAGAAGAAGGGTTCAAATAATGTGAGGGCGAATGCTGAAACAAAAGACCTGGACTGATGAGCAGGAAGCAGATTGAGGAGAGAGAGAGGAAGTGACAGGGGAGCAACAGAAGACACGCCGGGGACTAGGAAATTAATCTAACGTTAACAAATGACTAAACATAAGAAACATGTTAAACCCAGAGCAACTAAGAGGACTAGACACAAGAAATAAACTGGAATCACTAAGAAGTTTCTGAACTGCATGCAATTATGAAGCTATTGTTGATTTCTTTGGAAACAACATGAAGTTATTAAACCTACAATGCATCAGTTTCATGCTTGCTAATGTATAGGACTAACTAAGAATGTACTGTAAAATATTTTGTCTTTAGTGGATAGGGCACTGAAACTTGCTCCTGTCCCGAGGCCCACATCCTGTTAAATCCGGTCCTATGTGGATGGATGGATGGATGGATGGATGGATGGATGGATGGATGGATGGATGGATGGATGGATAGAAAACTGTAGTCGTATGACTTGATTTAATGACATCTGTTGGTCGGTCTGACTTGTTTTACTTTGATCAGAGGTCATAATTAGGTCATATCTTAAGTCTGACTGTCCTGTATGGGCATCTGATCTGAAATTTCTTTTTAAATTTAGAGCTACCTCAACCAGTTGCTCTCGACAATACTCGGTTGTTTCTGCTAATTGTAGCAGAGTGTAACCAAAATCTTTTAATTGCCGTCAGTACAATGGAAATCCGGTGAATCACTGGAGCAGGATGGAATTGTATTTCTGTTTTGTCTCTTAGCAAGAGGATGACGATGAAAATGTGTGAAATCGACTAATATCACATTTTTGACGTTTAAAAGGTTTAAAACCAAACCTCATTTGTGGTCATTGTGCCGCCCCCTAGAAACTCGAGATCACTTTATAGAAATGATCTCAGTGGATTTATTTATTTTTTTTTTTTTGCACTTCCTTTGTAGATGACCGAAGGTCGTGTGTGTCAGATTCACCTCCTCGATGGCAGGAAGCTGGAGCTGCTGGTTCAGGTACAGCTTTGCACTTTCGGTTCTTTTTCAGGGGAAATGGTTTGGCTGGCCGGGAGTCTCACTCTCTCACACAAGCCGATCTGTTTTCCTTCCTTTGTTTTCTGCTTCCCTTTTATTTTGCCCCGGACCTCTGCAGCCGAAGCTGCTGTCTCGGGAGTTGCTGGATCTGGTGGCGTCTCACTTCAACCTGAAGGAGAAGGAATACTTCGGCTTGTGCTTCGTGGACGACAAGTGAGTCCATTTCGTCACATTTGCAGGGCGTTTGAATTTTATTTAATCAAAAACGGGAAGGAGGAAGGAGGCTGAGGTAGCAGCATAGCGTGATATGTGATCTATTATTTTATTGCTGCTCAGTGGCCAGAATAACTGGCTCCAGCTGGATCGTAAAGTGCTTGATCATGCCTTCTCCAAGACATCAGGGCCACTGGAAATCAAGTTTCTTGTGAGGTGAGTGTTATTACTCTCAGAGCTTGCCAAATGTGAACCAATTAGATGCTTAGGCAGAAAAGATGTGCCGTTGTGTTCGTCAAAGCGCAGAGACTGTGTGATGAAATCAGGTTCACCTTCAGAGTAGATGGCGGAGACGTGAGCCACATGGTGGGCGGCTGCAGATTGGTTTTCAACTTTTTTTTTTTTTACATATAGAAGTTTGAAAAGTGTGGTGGAACAATCAGCAGGACAAGTTTGTTCTCCACAAAAATCTGGCTTTTTTTTTTTTGCTACAAGAGTAACAACAAAAAAAAACCCACAACAGCAACAAAAAACTAACACTGCACACCGCCCTGAACACGGCATTCCTGTTTTGGAAACTGGCAGTGGCAGCATCGCTTTGACTTGGTGTTGAACTGAGAAAGACAGAATGGAGCAATTTTTTTTAGTAATAAATTAACTAAAAAAAAAAGTTAGTTAATTTATTACATGTAATCGAATTAAGTTTGTTTGTTTAACAACAACTTAATAAATTGTGTGTGTTTACTTGGGTAAACTTAATTTGTCTAATTGAAACAAAACTTACTGGTTTACTTTTTATTCCCCCAATAAAGAGCACTTGGATGACGGACATGTGATTTACACTAAAAATGGCTCAATATGACGACCTAAAAATACATATGAGTAAAGAACTATATAAATTTTGAAATTTATGAAAGTGTCTCCTACTTTTTTTTTTTTAATGATCAAAAATATATGAATCCCGTCATAGATCAACACCCCAAACTGACCCCTTTTCTCATTTGTAGTACAAGTGCCTGAAACAAGGTAGTGCTTCTTTGAGATCAGTAACATCGATCAGCCAGCAGGTGGCGGTGATGTAGCACAATGAATGTCTTCCTGTTAGATTTCCAAACAATGCGGCCAGATTTAAACAAGCTGATCAACACTTGCACGTAGATGAAAACCGAGCTTTTGTTTATTAATTTTTGTTGTTGTTTTTTGCTGCTGAAAAAAAAGAAGATAATTTATCTTTGCAGGTTTTATGTTGAGAAGATCACCCTGCTGAAGGAGAATACGACCGTGGAGCTTTTCTTCTTAAACGCTAAATCTTTAGTGTTCAATGTAAGTGATCTAAAGCAATGCGACATGCATATGTTATGTTTGTTTAATGTGGAACATTTTGTTTAAATTAACGTCATTGAGCTAATAATCTTTTTTTGGGTGAGTGCCCTGTGAAATTATTTTACATTTGTTATTCATAGGAACGCCTATGGGTTCATCAACTCGCAGTGGCATTAAACAAACAAACAAACAAAAAAAAAAAACTATAGAAAAAATGTTGCGCAATACAAACACATTATTACAAGCCGCCATTTTGAACTGATCAACAACTTCATGAGACTTCGCTGAGTCCCTTCCACAAGATGAAATAATATGGTGAGATGGTAAAATAATGCTGCCCAATAGTTGTGTTAATGATGTTGGGCTTGTCCAATTAGCACTACATTACACTTTTACTTCCTAAACCTAAATGTGGCCAAGTTAGCATTAGCTACATTCAGTAAAACTTTGGATCCTTAGACCTTATCTATCAACAAAAGTCATATTAGATGTAATATGTTGGTTATCTTTTCCCCCGGTATGGTTATTTCACTTGAGAATTAAATATTTCAACCCAAATATTGCTTGTTTTATTATTCCTGGTTGGTTATAGTTTTTTTTAAAGCCAATTCTTCAGGTATAAAAGTCCAATGGACGTCTTTCTCTTCCACATCATCTGTCGACCTTTGGGAAGTGAAGTTACCAATTTATTTCGAACATGATAGAAGTATAAAATCACACACATTGAAGTAGGAATGCAAAATATACATATTTTTAATTATATTAACATGCTCGAAAAGGAGGAGGAAGACGTAAAAAGTTATGAACTCCTACCAAATAAATACATACAATATTTCAAGATGGACCTTCATTATTTAATAACTAAGCATTTGTCTCAGAATCACTCTTTAAAAAGTTTCTCCAAAATTTCAATTGGGTGTTGCATTTAAGGTTCGACAGATTTGATAGCAGTTTACTTTTCTTTTTAGTAAATTAGAAAGTAAAGATTACGCTCTAAAGTCTGGAAGGCGCAACAGTGCTGAACTTTTGGAAGTTATGAGAAAACGCAAGTAAACGTTTCTGTTTCGGGTTGTCGATAATTAATCCTCAGTGAGTGGAAATAAAATGTTTTACGAGACGCACGTGAAGGCAGCATGAGATCAAACGTTGCAGGCTGTGCAGTTTTTTTTCGCGGGGAGCGCTGACTGGTCGCCATGGGAGACGGAGACTGTTGAACCTGCTTAGGGACCGTACCACTTTACCGAGGGGGGCTGTAACTCCGAGCGGAGCCCCAAACACGTCCGTCTGTCCCGCATTGTGGATTTTCCTTTTTTTTTTGTTAATTCCAAGATAACTCCGAAGAAGAGAATAGCCAGTTAAAACCGTCCTCATAGCAGCGCGAAGCACCGACATGTTCGTGCCGCGGTGGTTCAGTCGGTAACGGTGGGACCGAGGTACGGTCTGGAAGTATGGGACGGGAGGGTTTTCTCACGAGTCAAGTGTTTGAGACAGCGCGGTGTGTGTATGTTTTATAAAAAGCTCGCTGTTTTCGCCTCCTTTCCTGACAGGAAACCATTGAAGTGGAGAGCGAACATGTTTTCAAGTTAGCCGCTTTCGCATTGCAGGTAAGAAAGAGTTTTTTTTTTGTCGCAGTCTCTCTCGGTTGTAATGTCACTCACCTCCTGTGAGAGAGGACGGACGAGACGTTTGAAAACGTTTGTCTGCTGGGGGTCTGGAGTCGGTTAACTCCTCTCACAGGAGTTGGAGCTTTTAGAAACCAAAGAGGAAAACACAACTTGTAGACATAAGGGCCATTTGTGGACGTTTCTCTCGCTTTTTACTGGCAAAGTGCTGTTTAATAATGTCTTCACTCACTGAATTATTCCCATTTTGTTTTTAAAGGAGGCCAAAGGAGATTATTCCAGGTAAGACATTCTTATTTTTCCCCCTCTCATAACTTGAAATGCATTGCTATATATATATATATATATATATATATATATATATATATATATATATATATATATATATATATACAGCCATGTTTCATTTGTATTAAACAAAGTTTGACTAAGATTTTCCTGTTAAATAAGCACCTTTAATTAGGCAAAAGGTTTCCTGTGCAATGTTGATGTAGTTTTTTTTAAGACTATGTGCAAACAAAAATATTGACATATGCTGTTAATCAATAGGATTACAGAGTGGAAACAAAAGCCCCGCACAATTTTCAATGCGTTTGTAGATGTAGTGTACAATGAAGTACTGTTTGGTCTGCGCTCTGTAATATCAGCAATGGCTGTCTGTTAATGTACAACCTTACTGGTTCAGATTTCATTGTAGCTCAAACCTGCGCTCAGTTAATAATTGCCGTCATTTTGACTTGTGACATTGAGCCTTATCCCTTGTTGGCTCTCTGCCATCTATTTGTGGTCTACACACTATGTCCACAGTGGCTTATGAAAATATTCTCTCTCCTTGAAGTGTCTATTCATTGTAAAAATTTACAGCACTTACAACCTCAAAACAGTGTGTTTTAATGTGATTTTTTTATGGGATCAGTCAATGCAATGTAGTGCATTGTTATGAAGTGGAAGAAAATTGGATCAAATGTATCATTTTAACAGGGCCTTCTTAAAAGCATCGTTTGGTGACGGACTGAGTGTAGCCACATGACTGTGTGTGGTTTATATTTGTTTTATTTGGTGTTTCATTTATTTTTTTTAATCCTTTTTTAGTTTGTGTGTACTTAAAATATCTTCCAATTCAAAAAATTAAACTTTATTGACATATGAGATGGTGAATTTGCAGTATAACAGGATTGTCGTTATAGCAATTGAAAATGTTAATTTTAATGTTTATTGTAATAATTTCGAGGACAATTTATCGTCTAATACAATTTGTTATCATGACTGGCCTAGTCGTCGCGTTCAAATTTGTATTTAAGAAAAATACTCATTTTCCTTTTATGTGAGATGTGTTGAACACTGCTCTGCTTTGGTCAAACTTTTGAAATTCGTTGTTTAAAATGACAAAATGTGAAAGGGCGTTGAAGGTTACAAAGAACCAACAAAAATGTAAATTTTCTTAACGTCCTGATAGAAAAAAAAAAAAAAATCTGCAGCTTTGAACCCAAAACTTGCTTCTACGATGTGTTTCCTCAGGGATCACGTAATTTATAAATGCACATCCCACCTTCGACATGTGGAGTCCACTCAATTGATTTCAACACATTGCAGTTGCACAGCCTCTTGCTAAATGCCGCATACAGTTTAGGAGACACGTGTCTGGACAAAATGGACCATGTGTGCATAATTTGGTCATTGACACTGGTGTTAGAGTCCGTATAAAACCTCCACAGCCTGATCAGTAGTGGGGATCTTTTCACAGTTGACCTGCTGATAATGTTTGGTAGTTGTTTTTTCTTTCTTTTTTTTTCTTTTCTTTTGCCAATCATAGACTTGAAGGGCATTATCTGGCATTAGTAAACGGTGACCAGGCTGATCAGCAGAACTGGTGTTGTCTCTCTGCCTCAGAAGGCTTTGTGTTTGCTTGTTTGTTGTGCAAACACAAGCATTTGTCTATGGTAAGGAATGTTGTGCATGTAGCTGCGAGTGACGAAATGTGCAGAAGTGAAAATGCAGTTTGTCCTCTTGTACACCATCGCTTTTTGTTCTCCTGGAAAGAGGAATAAACTTGGCAGCATCTGCTTGTGCTCATTAAACAAGCACATCTGAGCTGGTGAGTAGTTAGTAGGCATCCCTGTAGTGTGTTCACTCAGCATTTTTTTTTCTTCTTTTAAGTAAACTCCTCAGCTCCAAAGGTTCACCCTGTAATGACTGAACTTTCACTTCATGTGGGAGTTGGGATGGGCCGCACTTTGTCCGGACTCTGAAAACACAATGAACGATGAGACGCCTAGTGTTCTGGTAAAATTCATCAGGGCGGGGTTCCATCCAGGCCAGAGCTGTAGTTGTCGGCTTTTTGATGTTGTTCTTTGCGTGAAATTATTTAAGTTTCAGACTAACACAAATCACCACGTTCCTCTGAAAAAGATGGAAAAGCAAATATGGTTTTCAATAGTGTTCCGTCCCCTTTAATCTCTGTGAAGTCTACAACTTTAACTAAGAGCCTGTTCTGCCCTCAGTCCAGCCAAATAAAACAGCTGCAAAGGTTAATGTTTTGAAAAAACTCAACCTTCATTTCTGATCAAGACAATTTGGTGTCATTTCTATTTCTAGTTTTAGGTTCTAAAAATTTAAAACCTTTCCAAAAAGAGTATGGACATATTTGTTTCTATGGGAAAGTTGATTATAGTTGTAACAAAGGCTTAGATCTAGATTCTTGTATAGACGGAAGGTCCTACTGTCTTCTTCTGAGGTTTTTGCGTCGTTTCCTTCAGTAGTTTTTGGTGCAGTGCCACCACAGGCCGAGGGAGGGAGCAACTTTTTCAATTGGTTTGGGTTGTTTGATATAGCAGCAGCTGAATATGTCGCAAATGTTGTAGTTTTGGTTCCCAATCAAACAAAGTGTACTGGACTATCTGGTTTGAAAACACCCGCAGGGTCGATCTGTCGTGGAAGTTCAGTGCAAACATCCCATGAAAAAAAACTGGAAAAAGTAAACGTACATTTTGTCGATATTGATAAATTTAGAAATATTAGTTATTTGTCAGTTCTAGGTAAAGTTTTAAAGAGCCGTTGTGGGAGGTCCAAAGAGTCACAGATTGTAGATCAAAACCTATTTATTTTAGACTTTCAGCAGCATTTAAAGTGAAAGGCGGGTCTTCAAAGTGTTGACTAAGTAGTGCTGAATACAGTTAAACTCCACAATTTTCAGACTTTTAATTGTAAAAGCTTTGAGAGCCATCATTTTCATTTTCTTGTACTTCACAAAGACATGCTACTTTACCTCTTAGATAAAGGCCCAATGAAATCCTGGCTGAGTTACATCAGGATTGTTGCACAAAAGTCCTGGGTTAGAATCCTGGCCTCAGGTCTTTATTCAACGAGTTAGCATATAGAGGATGGATGGATGAATTGTATTATAATATACCTGCACATTTTGCAGGTATATTAAATAAATCTGCCACAGTATACCAATCAATATAATAAGAATAGAAAATTGGTTTGAATATTCAGCAATTTCACTGAACTCCTAGTCAGAACCACACAGCATTCTGGGGGATGTAGGCTGAAGAAAGGCTTGAGGCACTCAACTTCTCATAGCCAGCTAAGCAATGTGGGTGGCATCAACAAACTCACTCACTCTTTGGTTACCTAGCAACGACCTGTTGAGTCATTTGCAAAGCAGCAGTTTCAGGTTTTGCCACAGTGCATCATAACTGCTTAAATATAAAAAACATCAGATATTTAAAACAAAATACTGATGACCAATAATTATCGATATCAACTGATATGAAATGCTTACATTCTGATATGTTTTTCAGCCATTAGGTAATAGTTTCTACCATAAAATCTCATATTTGCCTTTAAAAAAAACTTTGACTAGGTCAAAATGATGTTTTTTCTTGGATCCTCTTACTTCAGGAAACAACCCTGTCCTGTGGAAGTGTTTTTCACTCTCGTCAGCGATCCTCTTTCATCCCGACTCCTTGTGAAAGCAGACCCAGTGAATTCCCCGTGAATCATCCAGTCTAAATTCGACTCCCCTACCCCGTATCCACGTCGGCTCCTGTAGCAGGAGATTAGCTGTGGAGGAGTCGGGGAGGTCTCCTTTGCCTTAAGAGGGATGAGCCAGACCCGCTGTCCAATTGCAGACAAGTTGGCGTCGAGGGGCCCGACTGTAGTCGTGTTATTGTTGTGGTACGGCCCAACACCCCCCACTCCCCACCCTACTCCCTGCTGAGGGGCTGAATTAATGCACTGCCAGGTTGCTCATTGTTCTTTATCTGCATTGTCTTCCGGTTCTTTACTTATTTACACTTTACTGCTATAGGTTTCGCCACCTGCCGCTGTAATCCACAGCTGAGTGCAACATGCTGCAGTCCCTTCCGTGGGGGTTGCTTTAAGGGATCGGGGAAATTGTAGGAAAACACAGGACTGATTGATGCCTTTAATTACTCCTTAAAAGCAACCAGGGAATTTTTTTTCTTATTTATGTATAATTGTACTCACTCTCAAATATAGGCTTCAGACGTTTTAAATTCAGTACACGCACGCACACGCATGCACACACACACACACACACACATACATATGTGATTTTAAATTATCTTCAGTAATTTAAAATTTCCCACACATGCCCTGGCATTCCACCCAGTTCTTGTCCACAGTTCTATTTGCAGGTGTGGCCTGTAATTAGTGGCTCATTCACATCAACCAGCTCTCTCATTGTGCTCCCTCCAGAGTCCCTCCTGCTCCTCCCCACCAAGTCTCAGCCCTGTGGAAGAGCTGACACATGAGCATTATCTCTCCAGTGCTGGGCCGGGCCGGGCCCCGCCGCACCGGGCGTAGCAATCGCCCCCATGCTGCTGGAAGATAACAGACGTAGTAATGAATTCCAGACTGCTGACATGGCAAACTCTGCTGCGGAGTAGATCACCCCAACAACAGCGGGGCCAGAGCGCCCCGTAAAAAACGCACGCCATCAAACAGGCAGCCAAGTGCCGTGGCAGCAAAACTCAGCCAACCAAGGAGAGGGAGCCGCAGGGGAGAGTGGCCTCAAGACTGCTTTTTGTTTAGTAAGCTGGTTCACATAACTGGATCGTTATATCTCTGGTCGACCATGTTGGAGGCCATGCTAAATTACGTCAATGAGAGATCGATTGAGGCTCATAAAGTGAGCTTCAGGCCATTCACCTTTTATAAAAACACTCTGGCTTGTTTTTCATGGTGGTCTGAGGAGGCAGCATGGGGTTAGTGTGGGTGGGAATGAGCTTGACTCGGTTAGAAGTTATGCCACTTCACAGTTTCCTCTTAGTAGGGTTATGAATGTACAATTTATCATATTATGATGCACATTTTGTGCCATTTATAATAAAAAGAACAATAAAATGTAAACAAAATTGAAGATGATCACCTCTAGGGGTGAGTAAAAATTAGAGATGCACCGATCCCTTCATGATAACCATAAATTGAAAATACAATATTCTATTGTTTGTGCTTTGAACGACAAGGAGCTCTAAATAGATTTTACAGAATTCCTAGCTTCACTTTCTGAACCATTTGAAAAAAAACGTTTGTTGTAGTAGATTTTTACATGTTTGACCAACATGTACAATGGTTTATTTAACATTGGCTGTTATACTCCTAATTGCATTGCATTGAACCAATTAAAGTTGTGTTTGTACATTTTTGTTCATGTTTGTGAGGCTATTGGTATATGTAAGCATGCTGTAATGGTACAGAGTTTTCAAAAACAGTTTAAATTCAGTACATTTATGTTTGTTTATAAACAAAACATTTTAAGTCAATTCAGCACAGTTTATCTGTACTGGATCAATATTGGCCGATACTGAACCTCGGATATCTGTATCGGTATCGGAAGTGAAAAAAAAGTGGATTGGTGTACCCCTGGTGAAAATATCAATTCATCAATGCACCTATTGTAGCCATCATTAGTAATGGCTCTCTGGCAGAGCAGAAAGCGAATTGATAAACAGTATTTTAGTCATTAATTATTTCTTATCTTTTAAATAAGATCAACAAGAACAATATTAATGTCAGGGGTAGGCGACTCCAGGCCTCGAGAGCCGGTCTCCTGCAACTTTTAGATGCGTTTCTACTTCAACACACCTGAGTCAAATAATGGGGTCATTAGCAGAACTCTGGAGAACTTGACTGCCTTTTGGGAGGTGATTCAGCTGTTTGAATCAGCTGTGTTGGACAGGGGGGAGACATCTAAAAGTTGCAGGAGACTGGCTAATGTGGAGGGCCTGCAGGCTTACAAACCACTTTTCTCCATGTCTTTTGAAAGGCACCTGATGAGTTAAAGCCTTTGCACGAGCCTTTGTAAATGAAGTCTGGCAAGACATGAGTAAGAGTCAAGTTTTGCCTTGGCAGCCAGTGCTTCTCTTTATACATCATAATAAAAAGATAAAAAACAAAATCCCGTCGATCCACCTGCCCACAAAGGTTCACAAGTAAGAGTTATTGCTGCTGTGCCTTATGATGGCAAATCAAAGCCTTCGGAAAGTGGAACATGTGGCGAAAAGGTCTCGTTTTTGGACTCTGAGTTCTTTTGTGTCAAGGTTTACCTTTTTCTGTCCACATGTGCATGTCAGGCTCTTATTTTAAGATCATAAAAGGACGTGAAGTGCCTTTGACAATAAAGGAAAACCTCCTGTAAAGACTTGACACTTGTTGGCAGGCCCAGATCAGTCGAGCGGCGGTTTTTATAGTTGTGTTAATGGGATTCTTCCTGCAAGTGAGGCAATAGAACAATATAATGTTAAAAAAAATGTGGAAACCCTCCCACCCCTGATTTGGTATAACATACAGGGATGGTGAAGTTTTTGTACATTTTTTTCCCCCCCAGTGCTGAGACTACAGCATCAGACCTAAAGCAGCTACCAGTTCTCCCCACCAGAGTACTGAGGGAGCATCCATCGCTGAACTACTGGTAAGATACCTGATCACCATTTCTCTTTAACACCTTAATTTCTTTTAGTAAGTTGGCATGTTTTAGAGTCTGATTATCTGATTACTAGATTAGTTGCTGATTGTTTTCATAATCAGTTTATCATGATCTGTTTAATTGTTTCAGCCCTTCAGTGGTTGCTAATTATTTATGCTATGGACTTACTTTGAGTGTGAGAGAGCATTATTGAGGATTATGGTCTTAGTAATGGGATCCATGTGTTTTCCTGAAACAATTCAGGTACTCAGCTTCTCTGTTCCAAAAGGCTGCTGTGTCAGCCTAAAAGTACAGACGAGCTGTTTTTGTGGTTAATAATACCGTTTCCCTCTTAGCTTCTTGCACCTTGACAGCCACACAGAAACTCAAACTGGCTAGCTTAGAGTTCGGATAACTAGCTTGCAACATTCAAGCCGAAGTGTGTTGTTGTCAGGGCTCCTTCAGCTTTGAAGTGTTCAGACATGTTGATTGGAAAAAGGTCGCATTTCTGAGTTATTGCCTGGCAGTCACCAGTCAGGGCTGATCAGAGCTTCCAAACCTGCGACCAAAACTGCAGATAACAGCAGTTGTCTCTTCAACACGATGACCTGAACTGCACCACTATCAGTTCAGGTTTTGAACCAGTCACCATGGTTATATTTGAAATCATTTGCAATGCACACCTAAAAACAACACATGAGCCTGAAATGATGTAACTCAACAGATGTTCACTCGTATTTACTATAAGTATGTGTCAGATGTTATACGTCGCTCCCAGATGATACTTTATCTCTCCACTCATGAGGAGAAACTGCAATAAAATGTCTTAAAAGTGGAATATTTAGAGTTTTGAGTGTTAACAAGTTAGCTGATTTGAACAAACCCTTAAAATCTGTTTAGAAATACATTTTGCTGTGCATTTTTAGGGTTTTGTAAGAAAATTATGAAATTGTAATTTTACTGTAGAAGTGTCATAATATACTGCCGCCCTATTTGCTGCCTTTATGTTTGATACGACAGACAAAAAGCAACCCTGGCGTTTGCTGATAATCATCTTTATCCAAACACTCCACTGCTAGCACCTCATGGGCCGAACATTAGCTTAAACTGAGAAAAATTGTAGTGCAAGTTTATTTAATACATTTTTTATTTGCTTCAGATATGAAAATTAAATAATTCATTAATTGAGTTGGACTGTCATCTACAGGGAATCTTAAGGGTTAAACATGCCAGACAGTTGAATTGGCAACTCCAAAATGTGACGGGGAGAGTAAGAACTGATTTGTTTCTGAGCAGCCCTGTCAACTCTGAGTTCATGCAGTGCCACGGCATGTCGTTACGTAACACTTGGAAGGTCGCATCAGCTTCCAATCAGGACCGTTTGAACGTTAATGAAATGCTGGAAACAAGATCGAGGATTTCTCCTCACTGGGTCTGTCTGAAGCCTTTATTTCATCAAGCTGTTATCAGCTGGTGAGGTTCTGCTCACCCGCTCCGCTATGAACACATGCAGACACACACATGTGCTAAAGATGTGAGCACGTTTTCTCCAACATGCTCACAATAAAGCGTTTCTACTTTGTCGGTGTCTACCAGATATTTTTAATGCTTGCATTGTGTAAGGCACAGTGCGTCGGGTTTATACCTCCCTACACGACCATGACACCGCAATCGGTCAGAAACAATAAAAACAATTCCAAATGAGTGCTGTTTTGACCACATATCCAAGGACTACAACTCAATTGATTTAGACATAAGAAATAAGCCAATAACTTAAAGGTGAAATTATTACGATCTCATCTTTTTAAATAGAAGCTTGTGGGTCAGGCACCGGTTATAAAATCCACAGAGAAGCGCGTCTCTGTGTTTACAAACATGTTACTGGGAGGATGTTTTCGTTGCGAAACGGCTGACTGCACTCTGAACTTTAATTACATTTATTCATTAGACTGGGAGGTGCTGAGAGCTGCTGGTTGTCTGAGGCACTCCTCCGACTCTCCACTCCACAGCGCCACCGTTGATCTGCCAGCCCTCTCACTGATATCAAGCAGATACATCAGAGCAACATCCTCATTGGGAATGAGCATAGAGATCACCGTACATCTGCTTTTATCTTTATCTCTGAGAGGCTGCTCTGCGCTAATAAAAACCGATTACAGTGAGAAGTAAATGGGAGGCATTAGCATGGTTAGCAGATGAAAGTTATCAGCAGGCCAACGGGTGAGGCTGCATTTTCTGCATGAGTGGACTGAATGTGCTTCAAAGAAAGAGCCCTCGCATAACAGTCCCTCTGTGGCCACAATCTGTTACACTTGACGGATTATTCATTAAATGTTTTATCCTCTCATCCGCAGTGAGGAGAGAGTGATTGAACAGTACAAGAAACTCAAGGGAGTGACCAGAGGACAAGCCATCGTAAAGTAAGTTTGGGAAACAAACAGAAAAGGCGGTATGTGTGTTGAAGACAGACAGTGTTGCCTCTGTCTTTCTCTCCTTAGCCTGCGTGTGCCTCTTTAACCTCATGTCTGCACTGTGGTGGCTGCAGTTAGAAGAGGTGGCTGTCAGCGTGCCAGACTGTGTCATTAATTAGAAGGGCTGCTTCTATAGTAGGCAGCCTGCCAAGCCTTGGGAAGCATGGAAGTGCTCCATCGTGCTTTCCCTGGAACCAAATGATTTCTGTCCTTGAACTGATCAATGGACCCTCCCCTCCCTCTGTCACAGCCCCAAAGCAAATTGATCAGCTTGTCATTGTAAATGACTGCGGCCTCTCAATGGCTGGATCTTAAATCCCCGTCTGTCAGTTGCGGTACAGATATCAGGTGACAGTGATGAAGTGTAAGTAGCTGAATTTCTGTTAACCTATTTCTCTCTCGCTGTAGATATCTGGCCCTGGTGGAATCTCTGCCCACATATGGAGTTCATTATTACCCTGTGAAGGTAACAGCACTGCCCTAACATACAGCGGTCCAAACTTTGAACAGTCACACATTACCTTGCAAAAGTATTCATATTAGCTTTGCACCATTCTGATATTAATATCTGCATAGGTCCAGGTAGTGAAGAAAATTCTAGATCAGGTATCTGTGACAATGTCTTTTTTTTTTTTTCTCCACGCACGTTTGTAATTTAAAAAAGTGGTGCCCATCATCTTTCTGTCCCTGCTAATGAAAAACATCCCCACAGCCTGATGCTACCACCCCCGTGTTTTAATGTGGGGACGGAGTGTTCCACATGAATTACAGTTTTATCAGACTGCGTTTTGGATGAACCCCCCAAAAATTTGAGACTTTTTTCATCTTCTTTTTTTTTCATATACATATTTGGCAGCAAACCTTTAAATGAAAAAATACAATGCCTTGTTTCTTCTGCCAGTCCTTCATAAAGACCAGATTTGCAGAGTGAAAGACTCATCTGGTCTCTGTAGCTGAATTTGCAATCCTGAAACATCTGTACGAGCGTGGTTTAGTGAGTTTCAGGGAACGAAGTGATCTGCCTTTTCCCGACCAGCCCTTATTAACTTAAGGTGTTTAAAAAGATCAAACAACCATGTTAAAATGTCTCAGTCAGCTTAGCAGGTTTTTTTTTTTTTCGGACCTCTCACGTATTTGATCTCGTCTTTGTTACCATTTCTCTGATCTTAATGAGATAATAGCTTCAGTAATAGGCCTCCTTTTTGCAGACTCCACCAATAAAGCTCGCTCTAATGATTCTTATGCTTAGTGTGTGTGTGTTTTTTTTTTTTTTATACAGGATAAGCAAGGAATACCATGGTGGCTGGGAGTCAGCTATAAAGGCATCGGCCAGTACGATTTGCAGGATAAGTTGAAACCAAGAAAGGTAGAATCGTTCACAGCTGTCGTATTTTTATCATGTTTCTCAACTTTCATACGTCATTGCTTAAGCACTTTTATTTCTTTTTTTTTTTTCAAACCAATTTGAGATTTGGTGTTACAGTTATTCCTTGATTCCTTTAAAAACAAACTTATTGTTGTTTTCTTATAAACCACATTCAGCTCTGGACACAACAGATTAAGAAAAAATATTTAGCATCTCCTGGAACCGGCGGTATTATCACACGTTTTGTGTAAGAAGGTTAATGATTTATCAATACGCTAAACAGGCGTAATTTGGGTCTGTGGTTCCCAGGGTTGGAGGAAGAGGAAAGCAGATGGAGAAAAATAGTTTAATGTGTCACGGTGTCCTCGGTGCACTCAAGGCTGTAAAGTGTCAGAGCAAACATTGAGAGCGTCAACACCACAAAATGATTGGGAAGTAACTCTCCTGTCCAAGTTGAGAAGAGCAAGGCAGGAGGGAAAGTCCAAATTTAAAACGTCATTTCATGTTTTAAACTTGGATTAGGATCTTGTATTGATCAGAAGTATTTGATGAAATGCACCAGAAATGTGTGCAAAAGTTTCTTCCCTTCCGCCACAATTTTGTGTTAATTTCTCCTGATTAGACTGAGCGCTGCTGGTGCATGGCAGGAACCTGTTGACGTAGCAGGGTGTGCTGTTATGCTGAAATCTGAGTCATTAATGGGCAGAGGCACAGCATGCTGCTCCTGGACGTGTAATTATGGCGCTATATGGGAAGCTGTAGAGCACTGGGACAGGTTTGGCTCTTTGCCAGCTGTGGAGAAAGGAGGGTAGGTAAGAGCTGAGGGACGGCGGTGCAAGTCTCAGGGTGCTGGAGTGGTTCAGAGAAACAACAGACTGTTCTGTTTCTGTCTCCTCAGCTCACTGCGGTATCGGTTAGATTAGAGTTTCCTGGGCAGCACAGATAGAGCCTTCTGTTTGACCCGAGCCCTTCCCTCTTGCCCTCTGGCCAGCCCCTCTCAGCAGGCTGCCTTCATTGTTGTAATCTGTCTGTTTGGGTCTCAGAGAGAACACAATTGATCAAACAATACAGAGCCGTTTTTTGCGGCGGCCGGGGATGCTGGGATTGTCTCGTTATTACTGGTGTAAGGTCAGTCAACAGTTCACATTGTCCTGTTTTTAGATGCATAGAAAGCAGCATTGTGCTACAATTTACATCAAAATCAAGTGAGAATGTTTAAAAAAAAACACATCAGGTGGGATCAGATTGTATGCACTGAATCTTGATTTTAATTCATCATTTAGAATGGAGGCTAATCATTTTTTCTTTTCCAATGTTAGTCTTTTTCGTCTTCGCCTTGAGGACCTTTGCACCTGCTCCGGGAGCCGATGATTGAAAAACATTTTCTATAATCATAGTTTTATGTTATGCAACTCCAATGAATTATGTTCACCGGCAGGTGGTCGCTTCCTGTTCTGGGGGAATGATCAGAAGTCTGATGAAGCCTGATCATCAGACTTCATCAGATGAAGTCTGGGTTTTCTTAAAGCTACACCTTTACTGATATGAACATCCCATTTACAAAGCCTGCGCATCTAAACCAGAAAACTAGACAGCGTTAGAAGGGAGCTTGTGATTTTGTGAGGAAATAAAGAGTTGGAGAGAGTCTGACTCTTAGCAAAAGTGTGAGTAATGAAGGAAACATGTTCTCTAATGTTTGGATAATTTATCTGACGGTCTCCCTCTTGCCGTCAGGATTTCACAACTCTTGGTTGTGTGTCATTCTCTGGAAATGTACAGTGTTGCTATTGAGCAGGAGCTGGTATGTGACGCGCTATGCGACGGGCGGGGTCGGTCCTACTCTGCACAGCAAGTTCCAAAACGACCTTTGACACATTTTCCATTTTTGATCAGTGCCTTGAATCAAACATCTATACCTGATATTTCTTTGCTAGACTAGTAGCCCCTGGGGGGTCTCTGGGTTGTTGGGTGTGAGCTGGGTGTGAACAGACTGATCCCATCTAAAACCACAGGCATTTCTGGCAAAGGCCGCGCTTCTTTAATTAGACGTTTGGCAATTACAAGAGAAATGTAATTAGAGCAGGAAGACGCATTTTGTTTGCTCTGGTCTTGTGCTTTTGGGTTTACAAAATGTATTTATGTAGAAGTGACATTGAGTCACGCAGTGATCTGTTGGACTGGTTCCAACTGTTCAGCATTTAGTCTTGTGACTCAAGAGTTTGAGGTGTGTCTCTTCGCCGACACGTCGCAACACCAGCTTTTCTCTTCACAGCCGCTGGAGCTCATTAGTTTCACAGGAGTGGAGTTTCTCTAATGATATGCTGATCCACTCGAGTGTTTACTATTCTATTATCTGTTGGTATTATGTAAATGATTCAGAGTGGTAGTAAGCGGGATGTGTGAATTGGTGTGAGAATCCCTCACAATGAGGCGCATCCTGCTGCCTGGTTCCTGTGATTCATTACGTTAGAGTCTTTTATTATTAATATTATTTCAACAGTAGTTAACAGAGAAATGCAGCGTTGGTTTTAACATAATGTGGGATGATCTGTAATGCTGTGATACTATGATAGTATATAAGTATTTATACCTTTTCACTTGTTCACATTTTGTCACAATCAACGGTCCGGCTCAGGAGTATGCCTTGAACCGGACCGTTCTGCTGCAGCAAACCTCAAGGCATTATCAGAGTTTAAAATGTTATTTTAACTCTTTTCTTAACTGTTCCACAATCAATAAATACCAGTAAATTTGAAGATATGATTAAGTGCCCTTCTTGAAATGGCTTCTTGAAGATGCACACATATTTCAAACCCAAGCGTTCTTCAAGAACAACATTTATGTTTGTGTTGAGGTGAATACAGTCACATTAGTCGCCTAAAACTTCAGTTTTTATCATCATATCTGTCGTTTTCACAGTAGCACCACAAAATATCACAATAACAATCTAAGTCCATATTGCCCAGCATTACTTTAAAGTATTTAAAACCCAGGTGACCAGAAGCAGAGATGAGTTTAAATGCCTCCAAACAAGGAAGTGTCCCGTTCTAGTAAATACCTGCACACAACCTGCTCATCAGGACTGCCTGAGAACCAGGAAGAGGAGGAGGAAATCTGCGCTCCAGCCTACTGGAAAGCCAGAGGCAGCAATAAGGTGTTGGTGATGTCACAGTGAGAGGGGGCTGAAGTGCAGGAGGGAGGAGGAAGAAGGAGGGGGGGCGTGGTTACCTCAGCTGAAACTTGCAACACCTATCTGGATCCCTGAGAACAGACAAGAGAGAGTATTGTTCGAGGAAGCTCTAGCCCTGTGGGAAAGTCACAGTCAGAGGATTCAATATAAAACCAAAGAGAATTCCAGCAGGATCTGACACAAAACTCCTCCGTGGTAAGACTTTAAAAGTTGTCAGATTTTTCTTTTTAAATCCTATCGTGGTGGCTTTAGAGAGCTCTGATACGTATGGTGTTTATCTCTGTAGTGCTGAGATAAGTTTGGAGTTGCTGGTGGTTTAAATATAGCCTTTGAGTGATTTCTCTCCAAAGAAGTCTTGGAAGTGTAGCCCTCCTTGCTTGGTATGAAGTCAGTTTTAGGATTTTGGGCTTACAAGATCTTTTCCTGCCAAGTGTTTCCTGATCTGCTTCAGCAAGCACAGCTGGTTCTGTGGGACAAAGAGAGGAGAGCGAAATAAAACAAGAAGCTGGCTCCCTGCCTGGCTGGGATCGGCTCCCTGGAGCAGGAGATGTTCACCTGGCCAGCCCACCCGGGACTCTGACCCTCCTTAGTTACAGACTGTTTCTTTTATTTCAGTCATTTTTCACCTTCAGGTCAAAAATTCACAAAACACAAAATCCTGAAAAAGCAAAATGGAGACAAAAAGACAGAATTGATAAAGAAATAAGTATTGCTTAAATAACTCAAAGTGTAGACTAAGTCTGTCACCATAAGCAATTAAGGAGTTATGATGGATTAAAAGGAGGTCAGTAATTTTCCATCTAGTGATTAATATTTTTTCATGGTCAGTTTTGCTTGCGGAGGCAAACCCGTCTTATGTATGACTTCAGTCGCAAGAGGGTTTTTTTTTCTGTTTTATTTATTGTTTTTGGTCGTTATATTTTCAAATTTAAAATTTCTCCTCGTCAAAGTTCTTTGCAAAATGAAAGTTTATCAGTTTTTGAGAAGGCGAACTCGTGCTATTTCAACACATTAAACGGTCTCAAAACAACGACATTATCGTTAATCACAATAACTTCTGGGACAATTTATGGAATTTTCCGTCGTGACATTCTCCGAGGAGTTTCAGTTGAGTCTGTGGACAAAACTCATAAAATACAAAAACGGTCACAATCAAACCTTATTGGTTTGACACAGCTTTTCACTCTCATAGAAATTGTGTGGATGGAAGTTTGCACTGACAGCTGTCTGTCTGCTCCACTCTTGCAAAACAGTTCAAGTTGCTTTAGTATTTGCTTTTTCCTCTGGTGTTTGTCTGAGAACTTCTCTCTCATGTGACAGGACTTGCAGCTCTGCAGAGTATATTTGTTTATCATCCTCATGTGCATCAGATGACTTTGAATGTTTACATTTTGCAAGCCCACTTTTCAGTCAGCTAGTGCTCCGCCGTATGTAATGCCGCTCTCTCTCTCTCTCTCTCTCTTTCTCTTCTGTTTCTTCGCAGTTGTTTCAGTGGAAGCAGTTGGAGAATTTGTACTTCCGGGAGAAGAAATTCGCAGTGGAAGTGAACGACCCACACAGGTCAGCAGTCGGACAGCTTGGCTCGTTCATTTCTGATCCGAAGTGGCTCGTCCTTTGTGTTCCGTGCTCCAGTTTTAGTCGCTGCCCTCGTTTCAGATCTCCCGTCACTGTGAAGGGCGTCTGCAGCCAGCGGCCCGTTTATAACCCACTCTTGATAGCTAATATGTTTTACTAAGTTTTTTGGGGGGTTTTGCTGCTTTTCAAAAGTGATTTTATTATTCTCACGTTGCTTCGATCAGGTTTCAGTTAGAGGTTCTGAGCTAATGAATTGGCTCTTGCTACTTGTAGTAAAATGTATTATTTCCTCTGTTGGCTCTAAATTTAGTCAGAAAACATTTTTTGAACTGTGGGATAAACATTTCTTTCTTCCTGTGCAGAAGAGCAGTGACCAAACGGACTTTTGGACAAGCCGGCCTGGTTATCCACTCCTGGTATGCCAGCCACTCTCTGATCAAAACCATCTGGGCGATGGCCATCAGTCAGCACCAGTTCTACCTGGACATGAAGCAAACCAAAGTGAGTCTCTGTGGTTCCCAGCTTGAGCTCTGTCTACTTGCGTTGTTTTGGGTTAAAGACATGAAGTGAGGTTTTATGGTTAAAATGACGGATAAGCTTTGAGTGTAGATGTTCATGAAGAAGACACTGAATGACCTAATATGGCTCGATCCATCCCTCTGTCTCTTCTCCTCCCAGTCCAACATGACCACAACCAGAAGCTCGAGCGACATCGCCGTGCACCTCACCGAGCTCAGCATCCCGCGGATGAGCAAACTCTCCATTGTGGAGAGCAACGACCCGCTCATCATGGCCAGCAACGGCAGCCTCATCTCCACCGGTGCGCACGGCTCATCGGCTTCACGGCAGGTTTTACGATTCCACGGCGACGCGTTGTAGTAAACCGATCATGCGCTTCCTCCAGGTTCCGCGGATTCTGAAGTCAGCGAGGAGCAGAAGAAGGAGAAGATTGCCGAGTTAAAAAAGAAAGAAAAGGACCTTCAAGATACATTGGCACAGAAGCTTGAAGAACTAAGAAAGATCTGCTTGAGGGAGGCTGTGAGTATCTCAGGGTTTTGGTTTGGATTCAAATCAGGAGGATCCAGACTGACTTCCGGTTTTGATTTGCAGGAGATCACAGGGAAGCTGCCTAAAGAGTATCCCTTGGCAGCAGGAGAGAAAGCCCCTCCGGTGCGTCGGCGCGTCGGGACGACTTTCAAGCTGGACGACCTGAACCTTTACGACAAGGTTTGTAACTTTGTCGCTCTGCTGTTTGTTACAAAGCTCGTCGGTTTTGGTTAACTCTCAGTGATTGTGACACATTAGCTGCGTCTCTACTGCAAATGTGCGCCACATTTAGTCGATAATCTGCCAATGTCAAAAAAACACAATTTCAGCATCGCTGTGTTTCCGTTAATTAAGAAACGCAAATAAAATCACAAGTGAAAATGTTTGTTCACACAATAAAACATGCCGCACCATGATCCTCCAGCTTCTTTCTGTCTTCTTCTTCTTCTTCTCCTTCATGGTTTGCATCAGTGGCAACATCTGGCTGCTGATCATGTGACTCGATTGATGTGAAAATTGCAAAAAATTTGCAAAACAAAAATCGCCACGTTTTTATTGCAATTTTGCGAAATAAACAGAAACCAAGCACTAAACTTTTTATTGAAAATTTAGTTGTTGTTTTTTCTTTTTAAATTTGCCATGTTTTCTTTAAGCAAGTTTATTTTTGAAAAGTCAAATTGTGCACTTATATGGCCGATGCTGCGTGTGTTTGTTATGGTGACGAGGTGTTGGAACTGGGATTAAGAGGATGTTTTGTGCCTTAAACAAACATAATCCTTTGAGGAAAGCACTTCAAGTTCAGGTCTGAACTGGTCTCCTCTTCCAGATCAGCAAATAACATGAAACCAAATCAAAACGTAAATATTTTAGGATGACACAATAACTCTTTGAGAAGGTCTCCATGTTAACATTGTATGTTTGTCCTGCAGGACCCTCATCTCAGAAACCTGGAGAGCAAGCGCGCCCTGCAGCAGAAGATCGTGGAAGCGGCCGAGAGGCTGCTCAAAGAGGACGGCCTGGACAAAACGGTGAAGAGGAAAAGACGAAACAACCACCTGGACTCCAAGAAGAAGCTGGAGGACATCGAGAGAGAGATTCATAACTACAAGGCAGGAGCCGCGCCTGGTCCGAGAGGCTCGTTAATCTCAGCAGGTAGAGGATCTGGCTGTTCACTGAAGCAGGTTCAACACTGCCTGTTTTTGATCATTTGATGAAAATTCTTGTGTTTGTTTTTTCTCAGAAGACACACAGTGTTCAGAGCTCAGCTCTCTTTCTGGCAGCCTCACTCTGGATGACGGTGAGTGTGACGCAGCTCCGGGCATCTGTCGCATCGTTCATCACATTTATCGCTTTTCTTTATCGTCGTCACGACAAGTACTAAATGATTTTGCTGAAAAAAATCCCATCCGTTGTTATTGCCTTTTGTTTGTTTGTTCAGTGAGAGCATCAATAAATCTGAAATCATGAATAAATGCAGTTAGCATGCACAGTTTAGCGATACATATCACAATTTTTTTTATGTGACTGGTGTTCTGGTTTTTGTGTTTGTGGATTGGTGTACAGTTAGGTAAAAATGAAGTAGCAGCTAGTTCCTATTTTATCGTGATGAAACTTTGCGTACATAACGCCCAACCCTGCGCATCCATTTCCTCCTTTCCTTCACCTAAATGCTGATCAGTCTTTTCTTTTCGTCCCCTAGACGATGAACTGGGTTCTCAGAGGGAGCGGTCTCGATCGGTCCAGTACTCCCCAAGGCTGCACCACGCCGTGACTCTGGACATCTTCCACAACAAAGACAGACGAGCCTCCACCAACGAACAGCTCTCAGCAGGAAGGTAAACGTCAACATCTCACCACACCTGAAATGTCCTTTGCCAGGCTCCGTACTATTTAAAAAAATACAAGTCTTAAACTTCACTTGCTTTGATGAACTATGTTTACGACTCAAACGTGTTGCAAACATCATGTCGGCAACAGAATTGGTCAAAACAGAGAGCTTGTCAGACAGACGATTGGGGAAAACACACCCGATAAGCGCTGCGCGTGTGTGTGCATGTTTACCGCCGCAGCTTTGATAAACCAGAGCAGAGAGCTCGTTGAGACCTGCAGAGCATATCAAGAGCTAAATTCCTGCCAGTCTCCTCCTCCTGCTTCTCCAACTGCCTGCCCCTTATCAGCCAAAACGCACCGGCTTAAAAATAGATGGAAAAGAACACATTGTGCATGAAGACAACAGTTCCAGAGAGAGAGAGAGAAAGGAAGAAAAAAGTGGAGCTGTTGGCAAAACATGCCAGCTAGAAAAAAAGAAAGGAATTATCGCTTCACTCTTAAATGGGACTCACTCATGTGTGAAGAATGACTTTAGTACTCTGTCAAACAGAAAAGTTACCTGTAATCAGTAAAAAAAAAAAAAAAGAAAAGGACTTTGTCCCAATGAGTTGAATGCCCTAAAAACAAACTTCTTATCTCAGTTCCAGGTTAAATTATGACCCAGTCCAGGAATCGCTCCACTACAGTCAAACTGATGCGTTCTCAAGCAGGCGGCCCTTCAGACAGCCGTGTGACGCCCGCAGCATGCCACCTACACCCCTCCTCACCCGCAACGCCTACAGCAGCACACAGCTCAGGTACGGCCCGGGAGTCACTGATGGGAAAAGGAGGCGGCTTTGTTGATGATTCACAGAGTGCAGCGATAAAATGTTTTCACTGTTTCCATCCTTTTTTTTATTGTTGTTTCTTTTTAGATTAGAATTTTACAAATTGCTGGAAAATGGTCAAATCCACATTGAGGATGTTCTCAGATATTTGTTTTTGTTGTCCGTGTGCAATCAACGACTGAATGATTGGTCAAAGTATTTTTATGGATTTTCTTAATGTTGGGTGATACGTGACGTTTGCACGATTAACAATAGTGCAAACGTCGTTGGCTTTTGCCAACGACAAACTTTTCTGACAAAAAAATTGGAATTGGCAGGTTAAAAATTGGCGATCAGTTGCACACCTGTATTTCACCTTAACATCATCTTACTTTTTGTTTTCCCAGTAAATTTATGACGTATATATGTGTTTAAATTTAGAGAAATGGTTAACAAATAAATCAAGAAATCAAAAAGGAATAATGTTCTTTAAAAATTCATCTCCTGTACATGATTTGATGTTTTCTTTCATACTGTTTCTCTGGAATATTAAATCGGTTTTGATTGGCTTTGCAGATCGGCGGACGCTGCTCAGCATTTCCACCAGAGAAGTGGGAGTTTTGAGTCTCTGTCTCAGCTCATGATGGAGACCAAACCGCCCATACCGAATATCACCGTCTCCGCCGCTCGCCGCTGCAACAGCACCGAGGTCATTGACGACGGCTCGTCGCACACCAGCCAATCCAGCGTGGAGTACTGCGCGCCCGGCAACCACACGCAACGGCGGCGGCCGCGCGGTCGCCACAGAAAGGACCTGTACCCCAACACCGGCAGCATGCCCAACCTCGCGCAGCCGGACACCCGCTGCTACGCCTACCAGCCCCAAGGGCAACCCAACGCCACGGCGTATTACATCACCGGCTACCCCAACCACCTGGAGCCGGAGCCTTACACCGCCAGAGTTTACATGTACGAGGACGAGAGGGAGGGTCACTACAACGTCAACCCCTCCTACCACCACTACCACCAAGCGCAGCAGGGTCACTACGGCCACGACCTCCACCCGCAGTACGGCTCGGACGTTATGGACGGCGTTCCGCACAACGTCTACGCCACGATACGGCCGCCCAGGAACCGGCCGGCGCCGCGCGGCACCGAGCCGGTCAGCAGGAGCATCCAGAAGGCGATGGTGGTGGAGCACCTGAAGGGCTGGTACCACCGCAACGCGCCGCAGAAACAGGGAACGTATCACTGCGACTACGACAGAGGCTCACAGCACAGCCTGAGCTACCAGACCATGCCGGCGCCTTATCCTCACAACCACAGGAACATGTACTACTCCTCAGGTTGGTGTGCCGCGCCGCATACAAGAGAGTTATGGCCACCGAACAAAAAGGAGAATTCAGATTTTAATCTCAAAATTTAGACTTTTTTTCCTCAGAAGATAAAAGTCAGAATTATTATAATTATTTTCAGTTGCCCACATCCCCTCCCACAGCACTGCGTTGTCTCTCTGCTTCACGTTTTTCCTGCTCACTCGTTAATCTGTTCCAATTCTCTCCAGTGTCGTCAGCCTCCTCCTCCGGCGGAAACTGGCACATGAGTAATCGTGGAATGTCAGATTACGACGTGCCCATGCATGAGTCGTTCTCCTCCTCATACAGCACAGCTCCCTACGGCCACCCGACCCACAGCAGGTAAGGAGAGAAAAAAAAAACCACAAAAAAAACTTAGCTTCAGCTTTCTTGCTTATCCAATAAGCCACTCCCTGATCCTCCTGATCCTGGTTAATTTGCTAACGAATTTGAAAAGCGCTGTTGTATTTCTCCCACAAAGCAACGATATGTAAATATTCTCCTCTGATTCTCCTGTAACTGATGACTGTCGTCCCTGAAGCGCGCGGCTGTTTGCTCTGGGACGGAGCGTTTCAGTGGGATTACAGGATTACCATGCTCTCTCATAGATCTGCCACCTCCCAGCTTTTTAGAGGCTCTTGGTTCAGTCCTGACGGCCAGAGGCGTTTTTTCCCCCCTAGTCCTTCCTCCTCCTCCTCCAGCCCCCCTTCCAACCCCTCCTTCCCCTCTTCTCCGTACTCCCCCGGCTGTCGGGTGAGACAGGTGGTCCCTGGCCCCGCGCAGCAGCAGCAGCTCTCCAGGGGCCACAGGCTCAGTAAGGTGCCTTTTGCAGAAAGTAGCTCCTAGTAAGTAATCTGGCCTGAGTCTCCTCTGTTGCTGTGTCCCTACGGTTTTTATTTCATTTCATTTTTGCCTGTTGATATTCTTGAGCAAACTTTGCATTTTTCAGATGTTTACTCCATGTTTGTCATGCATAATAAGGGTCCTGCATGGCTTATTAAAAATATGCCCGTCATGCCAGATGGCATATTTTCATCCGGATGTCGCCAATCCTTTTTTTTTTTCCTGTTTGTCTTGCTCTCCTGCATCAGGACAGCAAGATCCTGATGTAGGATCTTGCTGTCCTGCACACACAAACGCTCCCTGCCAACTTTCTGTCATTCAACCGTGACCTTTGCCCTCCTTCCCCCACAGCCCCCTCCCTCTCACGCACAGATGCCTCCCAGACACTAGGATGGCGGGCCCTGCGGGGCCTTTAGGGAGGTTTGCCCCGGCCACTGACCGGGACAATTCACCCAATAATTTTCGGTCTCAGCAGATGAGAAAGGGTGAGAAAGAAAAAGAGTCACGGTGGCGGTGATGTGTGGTTTCAGTCGTGCAGCAGGGACTAAAGCTCCAAATCACTCCCAAAAAACACTTCTTGTGATTGGTTCAGCCGGGTGTTTCGTGGTGGTGGGAGAGCACCTGCGTGGCAGAGGGTGACCTCTGAACCTTGTGGCGTTTAAATCTGTGCATGTTTGTACTGTCAGTCTGCATCTTTTAACGTAAACGTGTTGTGACATTTGACTTATTTAAGGCAGACTTTAGGATTAACAAACCCAGAATGCAGGATGCACTGATCGGAGACATTTGTGACCAATTTCAATTTGAACGACTCTGACTGGCTGATACCAATCCCAGTAAATGTTGGGGTTTTTTTTGTGGATAAATTCAAGTTTGTATTCACTGTTTTATATAAACACAATTCCACAGTGATGTCCTCCAGCTTAATCTATGAAACTCCACTAAAAGGGACTGCAGCAGATTCTCCCTTCACAAGAAAAAATAGCTCGCCACGTATCTTTTGTACATCTAAAATTGGCATTATGAAATTATGCAATAGTCCGATGCTTAAGTATGCTGCAGCATTTCTGCAAGTAATCACTAACAATTTATTTTAAGAGGTGCACCGATTGCAGCTTTCTAGCCGATCGTTGATCTTTTAAAGCCTGTCCTGCTGATTACGATTCCTATTCATTTTTTTTGTCTGAAACGTGACCTGGTGGCTGTCCACTTTATGACAGCCGCTGACATAAAGTGGCTGATTTTCAGACATTTGCAGACGACGTAGAAAAGATCAGCTTCTTATGCAAGTATTGGACGATCAACGAAAACTAAGACATTGGTGCACCTCTATTTAATAATCAGAAAAGTTGCATCATAGAAATAGTCTTCATATGGATATAACATTCTTGTGTTACTTGACGTTGCAGCTTTTGTTCTTCTTTGACTTTACTCTCAGTCGCCTCCCTGATACTGAAAATAGCTGAGTGTTCTTCCACAACTTCCTCGCTGGAGTGTCATTTAATAATTTTTTTTCACTAACACCTGTTAGCGTTTAGGCATGGTGTCTCCTCTAATCAGCCAATCAGGGTAAAAAAAAAAAAAAAATCAACTGATTCCAGGCATCGGCTGATTTTTCTGTGCATCTCTATCCATAAATATGTAGCCTGGGTTGAGTTCGATTTGTGATCTCACCTAATGTTTTTTGTGTGTGTGTGTGTTTCTTCCAGATCCACCGTGGATGTGAGCCACATGGACTCCCAAGTGAACAACCAAACACACGGCATGGAACCAGAGGAGCAGATTTTCTGGCACGAAGGCTCCAAACCAGGAACAATAGTCTAGTTCTGCAGGATTCCTTCGTGCTGACGAGCTGTCATTGTGCCTTCGACTGCACTTACTAGTTTTGTTTTTGTTTAGCTTTTTTTTGTGTGTGTCTAAAATGGACTTGAAGAATGAAGGATTAATGGAACTAGACAAATGAAGTGCTGTGTTTCAGTTTTCTGCTGAAGGCGCCGACTGCAGCCTCAGCGGAGCGTCTTGTACGTCGGGGCGTTTGCGGCCGTCGTCGCCTGTGCACTGAAACCGAACCCGCTGCAGGCCGAACGCTTCAGCCAGAGGGCGAATTCAGACTGAACTTTAACAGTGTTTGCCTTCAGAGATGCCACCTTCACACCAACTCACACCGTCTCTGCTAAAAAAAAAAAAAAAAAAAAAACCTGAGCGAAGACGAACCACTTCGACAACTGACCTGTTTTTGTTTCGTTTCGTTATTGAACACTGGAACCATGAAGGAGGAGCCAAACATCAACATGAAGGATTGAACTCATTAAAATGAGTTATAAAAATATATATATATTTTTTACACACCCAATGATTCAAACAACCAAGCCGCTCCCTTTGCAGTCTTTCAATCGATCACCGAGATACGCGAGCCAAATCCTTATTCGTAGCACCATGTGAGTATTACAGGTCACCAGTTTGAGATTACTGCCACTTCCTGCTTTGTGTTTGTTTTTACTTGGTTTATTTGATCCATGCTGGAAATCATGGGCCGGTGCTCGTCCGTTCTCTCCAGAGAACGAACTTGTATGTAAGTGTTATTGTAAATACACTGGTTCTCTCCTTTTTTTTTTTTTTAATGCATTTTTTTATATATTTGGGGGGGAAAGCACATGTAATATATAGTGAACAATAATTGTTAAGCTGGTTCTTAGTTATTTGTATAATTCTGCATTTGTTTGTAATAAAAGAAACAAGTATTTGAGCCAGTGTTTTGGTTACTTTGGGAGGACTTTTAGTTCCAGGAGGTAATCTGGATGATACTCCAAGACTTCAAGCTGAGGCGTTTTTTCAAAGACAATCTCCAATTTTGGTTATTAATAGTAATATTTGTACAAAAGCACCTAATGTGTCATTTTTTTCACATTACAAACTCCAACCTCAAAATTCACTGCATTTTCTTGGGAGTTTTACAGAAAGCCAAATGGCACATAATCATAAAACCGAAGGGAAACAATTTAAGTCTTTTCACATCTTAATCATAAAAGCGTGGCTCAGTTTCACCTGTCTCTATATTTATGACCGCGTCTCTCACCACTATTCTTTGCACAATGGATCATTTTCAAGTCTTGACCGTCCGGCCCGTTCCAACAAACCCAGGCTGTGTTTAGGCCGCTGTCCTCCAACGTCTGCAGCCTTTTTACACGTTTTTCACAGGTTTTTTAACCAGACGAGGAAGAAACTCCTCCACGCAGAATGACACCACCGTCACCATGTTTCACCAAGGTGATGGTGTGTTCAGGGTGACGCGCAGCGTCGGTTTTTGTACTCATTTACACGTCCTGTAAATTTTAAACGGGACTTCCTGTCCCATCTGAAGCGTCCTATGATATTGGCTCTAAAAACTGGACTCCAAATTTTTGGCAAGACTTCCTGTTTGTGCGGTGAGCTTTGAATATGTCCGTCTTTCACATGAAGCCATCGATTTCAACGTGGCTAAATCTGGAAAAAGTGCAAAGCAATGCAAGTACGACTGTACGGGTTGATTCAGAAACGCCCTGAGGTCTGCTGCTGCTCAGCTGTTTAGTCACTGCTGCTTTAGTTGTCGGGCTGGTTTTTGTCCGTCCTGAAGCTGTAAACCAACCAAACCCGTATTTAAAACCCGTCACACCCTCTTCGGTCTGTAACCTCTCCTGTCATCTCTGCCAATGACAAACTGTGGCGTTTACAGCTCCAAAGCTCCCTGTAAGAGGAGCCTGCTGCTCTACACATGTCCATGAACACTGTGCTGCAACAAGCCCTCTCCTGCTTTCCCTCCTTGTTTTCTTCCTTCCTCACATTTTCCTGCCACCTCGCACATTAACTGGCTCCCAGTGCCTCTCGGTAACGTGCTCGTAACTCAGAGGAGGTCTCGCGCCCCCACTTCCGGGACAAGAGGGACGTCTTCTGCAAAATATATTACACTCTTTAATATCTTCCTCCTGCTTCCTTGTCTTTTAAATAAACACCATGACTATCACACTGCTGGGAGACTTTTCTTTAGCATTGTAATGACTGTGAAATATAAACGTAATCTTTTAAGTGTTCACATTTGTCCAATTTTTTTTCTTCACAAACCAACAACGTGTGTTTTTACACCGAACGGGAGCCACAGCCCAGATTATGATGTAATTACATCAGATTATGCAGCATATCGTCTTCATTCCAAACACATTATTCCATGAAAACACGCTACCATGATGGGGTTTGTTTAAACAATATCAGTTTCTGGACAGAGAAATGAGCTGAAGGCATCCTTCTTCTCTCTTGTCCACAGCCAATCAGATAGCTCATCCCACATCATGAAGGTCCTGGAGAGACTCCCTCTTGTAAGCAGACCAGCTCACATCAGGACCCCCAGCAGTTTGCTTATCGCCGTGGGGTTGGAGTTGATGATGCCATCAGACACCTGCTTCAACAAACCCACTGCCATCTGGTCCAAAGCAGGCAGCGCAGTGAGGATCAGGTTCTTTGATTCTCAGGTGCATTGAACCCAATTCAGCCTGATCTGCTGTTAGAAGCTCCTGGAGACACAAGTGGAGGCCCCAACAATCGCCTGCATCTGTGACAACCTGACAAACAAACCACAGTTTGTGAGACTGAAGGACTGTGTTCAAAAGACCCCTTAAATATTCTAAGTTTAAGTACTACTGTTCGTGTTAGGTGATTTCTGTTCAGCGTTACTTTTGCCACTTCGGGCATACCGTAGTTGGGGCGGCGATGACGTCATCACATCGCCGTAAGAAAGAGAACCGTTCCTGATATCGCAGGGGGAGGAGGGGTAACAGAGCCACTGTGCTGATACGTGAGAGGGGCAGAATATGTGTGATCGCCCTATAAGTGTGCGTTATTGACAAGTAAGTTACGATATTTGATTGTTTACTGAAGTCAAATGAGTGATTTGAAGTTTACTCGTTAACCGTTATTTACCGTTAGGTCCGAGCTATCGGCTATATGTGTATTGTAGAGCGCTGTGCGATGTACTTGACAGGCGCAGAGGCATTAATATTAGTTCATTTGTTTTAGTTCGCATATGAACAGTGATTCTGATGTTAAGCTTGTTTAGGCTTTATTTATTTCCTTCGTAGTCTATCTAAGGTGTAATAGTAATGTGTAATGATAGAACACCTGAAACTTATTTCTGTATTTCTGTTTATTCTAGGAGACCACACACACCTACACACATACCTGAAGCACCAACTCACACTCACCAAATACACCTTGGTGCCCTTTTTGTTGTTGGATTAAGATCTGTAACCTAACTTGGAATACAGAAAGCCACAAGGAACCTGCCTCGTGTCTTCCTTCTTCCACCTGCTGCACCTCATCTGGTCCTGAACTGAATCCAGTCTAAACAGTGTTCTGACACTCGAGGTTGAGAGCAGTGATGAACCTGAACAGTGCCTTTAAATTAACACCAGCCTCAGCTACAGACTGTGTGTCTAACCAGGTGGCTAGACACACAGTGGGAACGCCCACGCACAGTGGGAACGCCCACACACATTGGGAACGCCACAGGGCGCTGTACTCTCACCATTCCTTTTCACTCTCTGCTGTTCAAACTTGCAGCACAAGTCCGACTTCTGTCATCTACAGAAATACTCAGACGACTCTCCAGTTGCTGTATGTCAGAGAAAGACAAGAGGCCGAGTACAGTGATCTGGTGGACCACTTTATGGCATGGTGTGTGGGAACGATCATCTAATCTTAACTGTAAACAAAACAAAGGAGATGTTTGTTGATTTCCCCTATTTCCGTCACGGGAGAAGATGTGGCGGCGGTTCAGGAACATCAATACCTCGGTGTTCGTCTGGAACACAGACTGGACTAGAGACGCAAACAGGGAAGCCGTTCATAAAAAGAGACGGAGCAGACCGCACTTCTCCAGGAAGCTAAGATCCTTCGAGATCTGCAAGTTGCTGCAGATCTTTTGCGTCTGCTGCTGAGAGTGTCATCTCTTCTGCCAGGCACCTCCAAAGGCTCAACAATCTGATAAAGAAGTTTGGATTTGTTCTGGTTCTGTTCTGGAGACGATGCAAAGAAGGATTCCCCATAAGAGTCAGGAAACGTCATCTCTAGATTTCCTGCAGGATTTTCTGTGTCTTCTCTCTCCTGATTGGTTCAGTGCTGTTGTCTTGTCTCAGTGATGCTGGGGAATCAACACATGATCAGACACGCATTTCTTCATTTCTGTCCAAATAAAATATGATTGAAAAGAGACTTTCTCATCATATCCTCACCTTTTCCACAATCTGTTACCACCAGTAGATCAGCAGGTCTTCTTCTTTAATTGTTGGTCAACTCAAGTCATGTGACATGAGTTGACAGAGAGATGAAATCAAGAGAAAATACAACAGAGTTACAAAAGGGAACATGGACAGAAGAAAGAACAGTTTTGAAATTTGACCTCAACTTCATCCACATTTAAAACTGTTAGCTGGGTAAAAATAAGTTTCCTTACTTTTTTCGTCAACTGGGTTCTCTTCTCTAGTTCTACCTTACTGGTGGTGTTGTAGGTGGAGGTTTACAGGCTGACGAGGTCCAACCTAGGACGATCAGAGAATCAGAGATCTGCCACCAGCAGGAGGAATCATGTGAAGGTGGAATGCAAGACCTTACAAGCGGTGTGGAAAAACAAGGGATGCAGAAGGCAGGAACCACATGAACAATGACGAAAGTATCCAGCGATGATCAACTAAAACCTGAAAGATTAAAAACTGGGAGAGCGGATTAGTAGAGGAACAGTAAAGAATAATTTACTGCACTGGAGAGCACCGTGTAGGGAAACGCCGCGATTACACCCTGAAAAATGGGGGAGTTGAGAGGAAGACACAAAGACGAAGGAAAACCCGGCGCAAGGTGCTACCTGAGACTTCCTCGGTCCTCCCAGAATTCTTAACATCTAAAATGTTAAATCTAGCGGTGGGATAGAGAAAAGCCTCGGCGCAAGCCACTACCTGAGGCTTCCACAGGCTTGCTAGAAAGCCATCGGCTTTAATAAAAAACAGCAGAGAAATGATGATGACTTCCCAAATTGGTCTTCAGTGATTGATCCCAATCTAATCTGGGTCACTTGGCAACTCGTAACAAGGTCGAAACCAGACGGGCCTGGAACTCATTCTTGCTGTAATCCCACTAGATGTTGAAGGTACTGGTTCCTCTTCTTTGTCCCCTTCAGTCTTCACACCGAAACGGAAGTCAAGGGATGACAAAGTTGGATTTTCATTGTGTGTTGACGGTGAAGGACTGAAAACACAGGGTGACTCAACAGGACGTTTCCGCGCAATTTTGCAAGAGGGACTGAGGACGGGGGATGACGCAGCACGACGTTTACGCACCATTTTGGAAGAGGGGCTGAGGACAAGGGATGACACAACAGGATCCTCACTGAGGACAGGGTGGAGCTCCTCTTCATCAACAGGGTCCCTGGTCCTCTTTGCTGGGGGCTGTTCTTCATCAACAGGGTCCCTGGTTCTCTTTGATGGGGGCTGTTCTTCATCAACAGGGTCCCTGTTCCACTTTGCTGGGGACTGTTCTTCATCAACAGGGTCCCTGGTCCTCTTTGATGGGGGCTCCTCTTCATCAACAGTGTCCCTGGTCCTCTTTGATGGGGGCTCCTCTTCATCAACAGTGTCCCTGGTCCTCTTTGCTGGGGGGTGTTCTTCAGCATCACTGTCCTTTGTCTTCTCTGTAGTGGTCCTGGCGTGACCAGAAGTCAAAGAAGCCGCGTCCTCTTTCAAACCTACCTGATGATGTTGCAGGTTACCGATAGGTCCGGAGTCCTCTTGACGCAAAATATGCTCTTCCTGTTGGTCCAGTCCAGATGGAAATTCAAGTGAAGTACAGGGAGCCTTGTCTTCTTGGGGCTTCTGAGCCACCCCAATGTCACCCCAATTTGGGGGAAGATGCTCAAGCAGGGGTGACGCTACATCTGCACGGTTCACTGTCTGACTGCTGTCACCGGAGCCCAGCGGACCAACCATTGAATTTATGCCCCACAGGAATTTAATACTTGGTCGAAGGACCTGGATAACCTGAATCCGGGATTTAAAGTTATCCAGGTCTTCATTACCTACCTCATCTTCACTGGAGGTGGTAGTAGAGCTACCACTGGAGCTGGTAGCACAGTCCACAGACTGCGGAGGTGTACTATACCTGAACTCCTCTCCACGGTCTTCAGAAACCTGGCCGGCTTCATTTACCAACACCCTACCTTGTTCCTTACCGATGTCTGAGTCTCCCTCCAACGTTGGGGATCCATCTTCTGGAAGCGCCATGGTATGGGCTGTGAAGGGGAAAAACAAAGCAAAACAAGCTATAATTCAGTATCTTGAAAAAAAAATTGCTAAACTCCAAAGCAATGTTTAGAGGGAACATTGAAATAACAATACAATAACCCAGGTTTGTGAATGTGTTTGTTTTTCTTAAATATATTTAATTAACAATATTATTGCTACGCCAGATGTGATTATACAACAAGAACGGGAATTAAGAGATAAAATAAACAAAGCTTTTGCTGTTGTCACAAAACAGCAAAAAACAATTTGAGATAAAAACCAGAACACACTCTAAAACTCAATGATCAAACGCGTATTGACAAATAAACTTGTCTCAGTTTGTTTGAGATAAGATTGATTGATCAATCAAGATCCTACAAAATATGACTGTTTATTTGGTTTATAAATCCATATCCAGTGTTAAAATGGTTATTATATTTTGCCTGGAGATAAGCCAGACAAAAATAATTAAAATAATAATCTGCATATTCTTTCAATATTGCAATCTCCATGGAGACAAAGAACATCAACAAAATGGATTCTCTAAAAGTCATTCTCTCAAACTAAAAAAGTTTTCCAATCACCAAACCTCTATTAATATTGCTGACTCTTTCTGAAAATGTCATCAGCGTGAAAATGTATTGCAGCTCCAAACATGCAAAGGACCAAAACAGCTAATTATTCAAAACTCCTCTTTCTTAGAAAAATAAAACTAAACAATAAGTTTAAACATAAACTAAATTACTTGGAAATAACACAGGATAATTATACATCTAAAAACTTTTCTAATATTCAAGCATTTTAAGGTTTTATTTCAAGCAACGTAACCAAGGAGATCAAATGTGTTATTGAGGCACTTTTTGAAACCTGGACCAAGCACTGACTTCTTATTCCAAAGATCTGAATAAAATAAAACAGAGCTTCTAAAACCAGAAGTAACTTTTTAAACCACATAGAGAGTGTTAAACCCCTGCAATGCCCCCAAGATTTGAACTAATAAAGGAACTGAGATAATAAGTTTTCTAATGAATTTTAACATTCAAGTAACTTCTGAAAATGACATGTCATTAAAATGCAATGGAATAAATGGCTGTTTTGGTCTTGAGTAATTACAATAAATTAAATAATCTAGTTACTTTGTGAAATCAACAGACACACATTGATTGCTCTGTAATGAGTTTTTATACGAATAAAGTTGTGTGTTGTTATTTAATCAACGTATCCATGGAGACTACATACACCACATTTTTCAAAAAGCTGGTTGCAAAACTTCTTTCAAACCAAAACAACTACAGTTGGCATTACTGGCATTTTCTAAAATGTCAAATAACCGGCATATGAATCACAATACAAATTCAGTTAACTCGCAAATATGTTGCAGCCAAAAAATGTCAATTACACCTTCTTAAACGAAGAGTCGAAAGTCATCAAAGCTGATTTTAACCAACTCAAATAATGTTTTTTTTTTTTAATTAGTTCACCCATGTAGAAAAAAACTAACAAATATTAATGTCTGTAATTAGATAGAAGGAGGCACATGTTTAAAAAGGGTTTTCTTGATTTTTCTTATTAAAGTCATTGTCACCAATGTCTCCATGGAAACTCAATGTGCTTGTCTGGGCATTTTTCAAAAAAATAAAAAAAAGTGGACAAAGAGCCATCCAGTTTACCAAGAATTAGACTCCAAGGTCATCAAAGCTGATTTTCACAAAGAAATCAATATTTTGTTTGTGAAAATCAGCTTTGATTGGTGATCACTACGACTATACAGGACTCATTGTCTATTAATGGTCTATCATTAATGTAAACACACTTATAATGCTAATTGCCAGGGCGACAGTGGTCGGTTTGCCCTGCATCTGTCCGTCTCTGCCATTGTGTCCTTGAGCAAGACACCTCTCTCACCTTTAGCTGGAGTTTATCGCTGGCAGGATACGATGTCTGTGGCTACAATCCATTAGTTTATTAGCATCAGTGTGTAAACGTGTGCATGAATGGAAATTTTATGAGTGACCTGATAAACCGCTAGTCTGATGGGATTACCATGGAAACCAAGTATGTCTGTCAGGGCATTTTTCAAAAAAAAAAAAAAAAAGAAAAAAGTACAGCCCAAAAATTGGACAGAAATTTGACTGTTTTTTCAAACCAACCTAACAATTTTTCCTCAAACACTAGTGTTAATATCCCAGACATTTATCCACAAATGTCAATGTGCTAACACATAAGTCACAAAACAATTTAAATTAACTCACAAATTTGTTTCACCCTGCAAATGCAAAAGAGCTTTACATTTCAAAGAAGTCATCAGCATTTCAAGTCATCCAACCTAATACTCTTACATTAAATATCACCATTTTTGTTTTTTCTAATCAATTCAAACAAGTTTCCTGCCAAAGCAAAAAAAAAGAAAATAAACAAAACAAAAAAAAAACAGATTAACATGTCCCAATGTTGAAAAAAATAATGAAACTAAACAATTAAAATATAGGCTATTATTAGGGTAAATACTATCTTTTTTATGTTTCTTAAAAATAATATGAAATATTTGAGGTATTTCATTTCGCGTATCCATGGAAACTGAGTGTTTATGGGCATTTTTCAAAAAATAACGGTCAAACCAGGCTAATCTTTCAGGAATTTGACATTAACTTAACTATTTTGACTATAATTCAGTAAAATACATTTATTTATTAAATCACTGCAGCACAGTTTAACTTTCCTGACATTTCCAGTGAAATTTAGTTAAGAAAAAGGCTAATTAGTGAAGAAAGATAAAATGCTAGCAACGAATGCTACTCGTCTTTTTTTCTTTCTACAGCAAAATTTCTTTAAAAACACCCACAAAAAAAATAAACTAAACAAGTCACTAATATATTTGTAATAACTTGCTTTCGTTTATTAAAAACAGTAGAAGAATGACTTTAACCTTCCAGCCGGTCACCCTCCCGGTGCTTCTCCTGGCCAGGAACCGTCTTTCGCAGGTTTGTTTTCCACGGGCTTCTTTAGGAAGTGCGTATTTCAGCAAGCTCTTCTTCAGCAGGTTTCAAAAAGCAGACTTCTCGACAAACTCAAACCTTCCGAGGCTGTAAATGCTTCTTCAGGCGTCTCTCTCAAAAGTCCAGTCGTAAAGGGGGAAGAACTCAGAAGGTCGGCGTCATTTATAGGGTTGAGAACGCTGACGTGGTTTCCATGACTTCCATTGACGATCGCACCGCACTGGCGCGTGAGAGGAATTGGACCACAAATAACGCTGCTACCACAAGTATCGCGTTGTCTTGTTTGGCTAATGCTATTACTTATTAAATATTATCCACACTCAACAACCTAAGCAAAGAATCTAAACACAATAGTCGGCCGTCACCTTTAGGAAGCAGTTTAGGCCCTAATCTTTTAACCTTATGGTTAAATATTTGAGTCAACCTCCTACGTTTGTCATTAAAATGCTCTTCGGCAGACATTTGCTCATAAACACAAAGGGAGCGGACATTTCATTCAAGCTAGCCCGATGAGCTACGTTAGCTTTGACATTTCACATGGAGAGACCCATTAGAAACAACAACAACAAAAAATCATTTTCAAACCACATTTTCAAATCATTGAAATTATTTTTTCATTGCTAAAACATGGTAGTGGCAGTATCACCCTGTGGGAGCGTTTTTTTTAATTATTATTATTTCTGCAAGAAATAGCATCGGAGTCGTGAAAATAAAAACTGGACAAAAATCTGCTAAACATTATGAATTGTGAGCCTGTGGCAGAGATTCACTTTCCAGTAGAATCCAATGGCTTTTAAATCAGAGCAAAATCTTGTCAGAATAGTCTAAACAAAGTCCTGACCTCCATCAAATGGAGAATCTTTGCTTACATTTAAAAATAACTGTGCTCAAAGAACTATTTTGCAATAAAAATAAATAATAATAATACACTCTGTCCCTTTAAACTGCTTTAAAACACATTGAAGCTGATCAGAATGTGAACAAGGTGAATGCTTTTGTGAGGCATTACATGGAGTAACTTTACTTACCGGAACAGTATCAATATCAGAATACAGATTTTGTAGAGGATGGTGGGGGGGGGGTTTCTTTCTGTCTGCTGAGTCGACAATGACACACACCTGTTGAGTGAGCAGCAGGCTGCGGCGAACACACACACACACACCCACACACACACATTTTCAGCTGCTGCTCTGGGGAAAAACAAGGGCCTCCACTGTGCCCTCTGAGACATGACTTTACTTGATTCTGTTGCCAGCGGTGCTTATGTTTACTCCAAGTTTCCCCAATATGGATGATGGGATGAGGCAGCAGGGGACGTAAATCACAGCTGTAGCCCAGAGGGAGGGGGCCACTAAACTCAACAGAAACACTGGAGATGTAGAAACAAGCCTGTGTTGGGTTTTTTTTGGGGGGGGGGGATTTTACACACAAATGTGTTGAAAAGACAACCCAGAATGTAAGACGTGACAAACAGTGAGCCATTATATACACATACACACACATATATATTATATATATAGAGAGAATTTATTTTATTATTTTTTTAATTAGCTATCAGAAAAAAAATTACCACCATGTTTTCCCAGGTTTATTTCTTTATTATTATCTTTTTTTTTCCCCCACAAGTGTATTCTTGTTATCCGGACTCCATTTTCGACTGAGCAGCGTCAAAGTATCTGATCTGAGTTCAGGGCCTTATTGACAGCAGATGAATCCACTCTGTCAGAAATGCGCGGCCATTGATTAGCATGTCAGATAAGTGTGGCGTTAGCTCATCATCCATCACCCGCCCGGCACTGTCGAGATTAAAGAGGTCAGGAGAATTCCTTTCGAGTTTTCCCTTTCAAATATTGACAAAGTGATCAGACTGAAGTCAGAGCGGGGCTCGCTCTTCTTGCATGATTCTCTTTTGTTTTGCATCTCGCTGGTTCCAGTCCAACTCCAGACTGATGTAAACAGTTCTCCGCCAAAACGTGAAGAGCTCTCCTCCTCTGTGAACTCGAAGAGCTCCGTTGACTTGGCAGTGGCGCGTGTTGAGCGAGCGCTTTTTCAGCCCTGGTTGAAACTGCAAAAACATGCGAGCCACTTTCACAATTCCACTAGAGTGCACACGGAGGACTTTGCGAGACTGATTAAACGCAGATTTCATAAACGAGAGGTTTCTCAGTTTGCAACGGGACACAATTTGCATAGCTGCACGGGGGACGGGGAGGGAGAGAAGAGAAGCATCCCTGACAAGTTCTGACCGGAGAGTCACAAGATACCCTGAGGAGATAACGTTTGTTGGTTTGCTTGACTTTCGTTTATCGTCAACATGCCAGACAGTAAAGAAGCTTAAAAGTTGTTATGTTTTGCAGGAACATGGCAGCTACTCCTTCATTTTTCCCTCCAGGAAAGTCTGAATCTTTTGGAGGTTTTCCTCCTGCTGTCCCAGAGCCTCCAGCAAAAGGCCCATCGGAGATCTCTTCAGCCCCGCGCCTTCCATCTTGTTCTCCATCTTGTTCTTCATGTTGCGCAGGCGAAACGAAGCGTGTGCGACTATCACTGCGGAACAGATAGAAGTAAATAAATCACGTTTTAAAAGTTGACATTTGGCAAAAACAAGCTCATAAACAAACCCAGAGAATGATCTGATTCAGGGAGAATTGAGGCTGTGTTTACACCAGACTGCTGCCTGTAAGCTGCTGGTATTTGCCGGATCTCGAGTCGAGAAAAGTCCGGCGTTTATTCGACGAGACGCCTGCAGTCGGCCGTAGCTGCCAGGCCAGGTCACTAAACGGCGCTACGATTCCAGAATGCCGAAACAACCCTTCACCTTGACCTCCATGAGTAAAGTGCTTGTGCAAGTCGTGTTGAACTGAAAAGGTTAGAAACGCAACAAAGCGCCGTACTGTCCGCCATTGTTTTAGTTGTTATCTGCCCGGGCATGCGTAGAATAAACCCCGCAGCTGCCCGTTCTGCGCCCGAGTGTTGCATAAAAGTTTTCGCAATCTTTTTTGGGCCAGCGGCCCCCTATCCATTATCCAGGTCCCTCATCGAACCCCATCAAAGAAACTGATGGGGTTCGGTGAGGGACCTTTACACTGAATATTATTTTATTGTTAATATTACTATCACTTGTTTCTGTATTTATCGTCAAAAATGATTTCCCAGAGAACAAAAAAAGCAAGGTGAATAGAAACTAATTTTTAAAATTCAAGTTTAAATCAGCAGGCCCGTCAGCAGCCAGACAGAGTGGGAAAAAAATATTCTTGTTCTGTGGAATTTTCTGATGTTAGTTGCTAAATTTTGCACAAATTTCATTCTCACTAAAAGAAAAAAACAGGGTTGAATCAGCAGATTAACTTTCAAACCTGCTGATCAAAAATAATCAACTGGTTTGATTATTTTTTTAGGCACAGTGATAGAGACCCTTATGTCCTTGAAAGAGGTTCAAGTCCTGCCCCGTTGACCTTTGCTGCCTCTGACAACCTGACCAGTGTCAAACGCCACTAGAAACCAAACTTTCAAAGAAAAAAAATGTTTCAACCACTTTTAAATGACATAATAATCCATGATCCAGTGTTTCATGGAGATTCTCCATCAACTTACAAGTCAGCGGTAAAGTGATTGCTGTCATAAACGTCATGACACTGCCGAGCAGAGAAATCAGCATGTAGCTGGCCACCATGACGACGATCACGAACGCCGTTGGGTTCTGCCTCTTGAAGTTCTTGATCACGGCTCGGTTCTCTCCGGCCCAGACGGAGCCCAGGAAGACGGCCGACACCACCGCCGCTGCCGTGAACATCCCCACCGGGTTGAGGAACCTGCAGGACCAAAGAGGGCCACAGAAGGCAGGTTAAAGGCGGCTGCGATGGCGCGTCCACTGTCTCCATCTAGTGGTTAGATGTTTGAATTACAAAAACAACATGCTCCCTGCACGTTATGACAGTTTAAAAGAAAGCTGGAATCTGTAGAAAGCTATTTAATAATTGATTAATGAAGGATGTGAAAACCTCACTAGAATGTAAATAGTACTTTTCCTCAGTTCTTGTCTCATACAGATGTAACGCATTGGTCCGTGCGCCAAAGCGCATAAAATGCATCCATAGGGTCATTTCATTCTCACTGAAAGAAGGAAACAGTGTTGGATCAGCAGATTAACTCCAAACAGGTTTGATTATTTTAAGGGGATCAAGGTGTGGAGACAATCACATGTACATAAGTTGCTGCACACAATTACGCAGCACAATATAATTGTGGCACAGCACTTTGGCTCTGATGGAGAACATCGCCAATGGAAGGATTCAGAGGGAGCGATTGATCATATTGATCTGCTGGGAAATGGTTGATGATGGTTGATTAGCGTTTAGATTGCCTTGGACTGATTATCCTGGAGCTGTGCGCAAAACTTGAGAGCCATGCGGTTCCGGTACCGGTCCAGCTGGAGTCGTCCTTCAAAGGAGCCGCCTGCTTTGTGAAAGCACCTTTATCATCTACATGTAAATGTACAACTTCTGCACACGATTCTGTTGCTGTTCAAACAGGCATTTGCGGGATCTATTTATTTATTTAATTTGGATTTTTTTTTTCTTCTTTAAAGTGTATTATTTTTGTTTTTGTGAGGCGGCCTTGTGCCCCAAAAGCACATTTTACATAAAATATAAAATTATTATTATCAGAAATACTCACACTGCAAACAAGACGTTGCCATGGTTATTGCTTCACGTGGTGCCAGACTTCCAGGTACTTACACTTATTTACATGTGTATTCACGGGTGGAGATCAGCAGCTGCGCTCTATTTCCCGGATATCAGGATTTATAAAGGAAAGGTGGGTTGCCATGTGCGTGCACACGGCTTTATGCATCACTTTTCAAAATTTTCTTCCATACTCCAAGTTTTAGTGTGAAAACTGCGCACTCTTTTATGCTTGAGGCCCCAGATAAAGCCAGCTTTGTGCTCTGTGACAGCAGCAGCGTTGACACTCCACCACCACCCACAGCTTCTGGCCAAGTTTATGACCTCTGTAGAAAGAACCTCAAACCAAAATAAGGACAAGTTTATGCAAAGATTTTGATAGTTTAAAGCTACATATATATATTTTTTAAGGTACAATAATAGTGGAAAAGAGCTATAGAAGTTTTAAGGAAGGAACATTTTTAAACTTTTTTCTGCAAATGACTGAAAAGTGTAGAGGGTGGATGTATGCAACCCTCTACTGCATTTCGAAGTCTAGCCCGACTGAAAGCGACTAATAGACGGCCATCTATCGAACCTGGAAAGCTTTGTTGTGGTCAGATGAGGGAGAATTTACGATCTGTGTTCGATGAATGAAATGGCGTTTGGTTTTCTGTCAGAATGACTGTGCACTTTGCATGTTTGAAAACATTTTATGTGTAAAAGGACTCGTCTGGTGTGCCGACTGATGCAGCGGGGAGAACAGATCCACAAACCCCTTATGCAGTTACTTTTGCTGAACATTGAGTGAGGGAGACGTTTTCTCACAGCATGAGCATGGCATCAGATGGTTTACTCAAACTAGTAACCCCAAAAAATAAATAAAAAGTTAATGTGTCAAAGTTCAGATTTGCTGATACGGAAACTGCGAGTCAAGATGAAGTCACTCAAGCAATTTTCCAACGCTGGATTTGGACTCTAATGGAACAGCTGATTGGTCATCAGCATGGCATTCTCATTGGCTGAGGAAGCAAAATGCGTGACTCACGTTTCACGACCAACACCCCAGGTTAGTACAAGCTTTAACTCCAACAAATTAACAACAATCTTATCTAACCTCCTGTGACACACAGGAGGTTAGATAAGATTGTTAGATCAATTCCTCAACTAGCTGCAGACATTTGGGCCCAGACTAGTCCTGTCTGTTCCTGGATTTCACACCAAAGCCTCTGTGTCTATTATCTGTAAATGTTAAGCACACGACCAGTTCTCAAATTGATCAACTTTTAACCTGGGGTATTTTTAATTTTTTTTTCCAAACTCATTTTGTTCTCAAACAGCAGCAGAGTTGCTTTCCTGCCTTTCCTGATCTTTCTAGAAGTAGGTTAAACCCTTCCTTATGCCAACAAGGTGAGCAGACTGAGTGAATACGACACAAGACAACACAACACAATACAATAAATAAATAAAACACAACAGACTTACAAAACTTTTTACTGTATGGCATCTCTTACCCAACAATGAGGAACACAGCAATGGCGAGCACCAGGTAATTAGACTGATAATAAAGCAGGTTGCTGACAACTCGGTTGTTCCACCTTGCCATGTCTCCAAAGTCCGGTTTGGCGAACCTTTCCGAGCCGGGGAAGAAGTCATCCCACGACCTGAGCGGCGCCAGCTCGACTTTAGCCATTAGAGTCCTGCGGGTTCGTTTCCTCTGACAGCTCAGCACTCAGCGGAACCAAGAGGAAAAACAAACACCCGAAACTTCAAGACAAATCTCGCGAGAGCGGGTTTGCCAGCTCATGACGTAGCTTTGAAAACCTCCCTCTATTGGTCGAGAAGCGCACGTCTTTTTGCCATAAACTAAACTAAGAGGCGCATGAGCGCTGAAGCAAACCAACTCGTTATGTTTTCTGTATTTTTTAGTGTCCGGTTCTAAGTTGTTATTTCTGTTGGATTTTCTTTTTGTTGTTAAAAAATATAGGAACAAGCGCCGTGTTAGTTTCGACTTCCCATGCGACGCGTCAGCGCATCTGCCATATTGTGAGTGTCAAGTTATCGTTAGAAATTATCAGATGTTGGGTTTTCTGTGGAAAAGAAACTAAAGTATTTGTTTAAATGAGTTTCAATTACCGTTTGAATATTAAAATGTAAGTAAAACGTACTAATAAGACCGACTGTGTTTAAAATTGACCTCAACTCACAGAGAGAGATCTGAAAATGAAACTAGGTCATTCCATAATTGGAGAAATAATCCCTTTATTTAATCATTTTTCTAGCATGCTTTAAAGAATAAACTTTTAAATAATTACTAAATACCAGAAAAATCAGTTGTTGTCTCTTTGTTGTTGTTGTTGTTCCTTCATAATCAGAAGTGTACATACATTTCCTTAGCATTTAGTTATGTTTCTGTTAGTAACATTTAAACTGTATGAATTGGGTCAAACATGTTGGTTATCCTTCCACAATCTTTTCATAGTGGTTTACTGGAATTGTGGTCCATTCCTCCTGAAAAAATATCTTTAAAATAATTCCCAAAAATGTTTTAAAAGATGTTGTTAATGAAGCAGCTTAAAACTCATGGCATTATTAATCTGGACCTTTTCCAGATCTTTGAAGATGATAAAAAAATATATATATATATAATCAATATTTATGGCAGCTCCTGCTCTCATTATACGCCACCATGAAACAGCAAAGACATTTAAGATGGCTCCAAATAATGCCATGGTAAATGGATGACTCCTGGGACCTAAAGTGTAAGAGATAGAGAATGGTCTGTTCTGTGTTTGCAAATGTGGACCAAGCTAGTTAGATTTAGATAAAAAGAAGATAAGTGCTATGAACTAGCACATATTCTTTGGGCTGCACTCTTCTCCAAGTGGATTCTTGTTACCTGCGGTTTCACATGTAATGGAATAGAAAAAAATTCCCCATCAGAGCAAGTATGTAGTCCAAGTTTACAGTTTTATTGACTGCAAATTAACCCACTCTGTCAAAAGAACATTCACACAGCTCTATAATCTACTGCAAGGTCACTGATTAAAATTTAGAACGAGTGGAAGGGAAAGAACATTTACCCCATCCGTCACCCAGGAGACAGCTCAGATAAAACACAGGAGAGGCAGGAGAACTCCTGATAGGCATCATGGCTTTCCTTTGCAACCTTTCCAGATGGTGACACTTGCAGCAGAGTATGTTGTGTAAACTTCAATCTCTATTAAAAGGAACTTCGAGTGTAAATCGGTGGAACCGACGACTCAATGAGACGAACTGAATGCAGATTTGTACTTTTATGTTCTTTATTTATGAAGCATACCGTTTTAAGAGCACACAAACATGTTAAAGCAGATCTTGGAGAGAAAAACAAAAGATCTTGTTTATTTTCTGAAAAATAGCTCCATCCCCATCACCTTTATAGCATATTAAAGGACACTGTTGAGTTTTTTATTGGTAACATTAGTTACAGACAGCATCAAAACAGAGAATGAGGCAGGAAAAGTCAAGGTCTGGTCAAATGCTCTTGATGCAAATAAGATGGTGCTTTGGTCAGATGGGACCAAAAGTAAACATTTTGGCCAGCATACAAGAGAATATGTTACAGACAATCAAAACAGTAACCCTGAATGCACCATGATGAAATATGGTTATGGGGATATAATGCTGGCGCAAAGTCCAAACCTGAATCCAACTGATAATCTGGAAGTCTCCATCCAATTAGGTTGAATTTAAAATTATGTGGAAAACTTTTCATCTCTATATATCTGACAGAGACACACCTTACAAGATTTGAGGTTGAGTTAGAAAGTGTGGTGAGCAGTTCTTGCGTTCAACCTTCAACGATCACATTATTTCTTATTTCATTATTTCTTCTAGTGGCACTTCACCTCACAAACACTTGTTGAACAGTTGATATTTGTGGACCGTGTGAATGGAATTCCGCCAATTTGTCAGCATTCGTGAAATTAACAAAAAAAATTAAGTCTTTGAAAAAGGCAGAGGGATCAAAGAGGTAAACCAAAATATCATCTGCATAGAGTGAGGCATTTTAGTGTTTTCTGTTGCTATTGATAGAATTTTTTAAAAATATACTAATCTTATGTTAGTATTTTCTAAAAGTGTTTCAACAGAATTAAAGAACATTATAATGTCAAAATTGGTTAGCCTTCATTGTATTTCTTTTATGCATTAAATTACTCACGACAAGCACCGACATGCACAGATTAATGTAGATTTCTTAACCAAGAAGCCTGTAGCTGTGGTGCACATAACTGATTTAGTGCAGGACAGAGACGCTCCTCAGAGCCGTGGAAAACATTCACCAGCAGAGATGCTGTTTGTCAGTTACAGTCAGTTCCTTAATATCAAGAGAAAAAATGTAAAAAGATTAGTAAGCACAGAGAAAGCATTTTTGTTTCTTCTGGGGGGAAAAAGTGCGTTTTTCAATCATTCTGTCTCCTTTATTTGTTTTTTTCCCTTTCTCTCTCACGAGCCCTTAATAAAAAGCCCATCGGTGTCCCCTTCAGATCCTGAGCTTCTTTAACGCACGCCACCTCGTTCATGTTGCGGTTGCAAAGGGAGGCATGTAAAAAAGTCACTGCAGTGAAGAGAGAAAGGCAAATGCTAATGTTTGCAATTTGGAAAAAATATAATTCATTGATCATTTATAACTAGTTTAAACCTGGTATAATTCAAGATATCGTGTGTAACGTTTGTTTTTTTTATTTATTTCTTTTGTTCAAACAGATAACAACGTAAAAATTGAGTTGCATCTCCAGTGCCAACTAAAAACAACCAATCAGAGCCAGGAGGCATATGACAATTTTTTGCCATGCTGCTCATCCATTGGCCATTAGCACATTTAGCAGTGGGTACATGAGCGTGATACACAGCACTAAGTCACGCCTCCTGTTTCTGACTGGTTGTTTTTGGAGGTGCTTTTTTTCAGACTATCTGTCTCATCACATATTGTCACCACATGAAGACAGTTTTAACAAATATGTAAAAAAAAACAAACTTCTTTATAAAAGTTACATACTTCAGCTTTAAGTGTAAATTTAAAACATATTTTACAAATCATAAATCATTACATTATGCTTTATATTTTATTTATTTATTTATTTTAAAATTTTTATTTAGTGAGACTAAAACAACACAGTGAACTTACCGGCCAGGAATATAATGGTTGCTGACAAAAATGTCGTGGTATCGACACGCTCACGAGCCGCTCCATGAGCGCCTATAATGTCGATGATCAGAAACGTTATGGGATTCCTTCTCCTCCATCTGGCAATAAATGGCAGTACTAAGAACCAACATGTGAGCCAACGTGTGAGCAGAACAACAAACAACATTGTGAAAACACCGTTGCCCACTCCCAGCGGATCCTTGAACCTGCGGGACAACACAAAGGAACATGAGCGCAGTTTAAAAATTCTGTGGTGTTCATGAAACGTCAGTGATTTGTTCCCATCTAACTACAAAAGTTTTAAGTTTAACTTTGTCTACCTTTTAGAGACAAAAAACAAACTACATCTTGTAGTTAGATGATATATCTACAGCAACATGTCTCCTTTTTATTTATTTATTTATTTTTTACCAATTTAACTATAAACCGAACTTGACTGCATCGTTTTACAACTTGGATTACTTTTTAGTCTGCACTGAGACATTTGTAGTGGGCTGGCATATAAATGAACCGAGTTCAAACAATTTTGTTTTTCTTTTTCTTCTCCCATGTTCTTGTCCAAGCAGTGTAACAAGCAGAACAGTGTCTGAGTGCCAAAAAGGAGCTAACAGTTTTACTTTCACAAGTGGAGCATTATTGTATTTGCTGTGCTTCACTTAATGTAGACATATTTTAAAAATAATTTGCTTTGTGTTACTTTAGTAGTCTTTCTGATTGTACAGGCATGCACTTTCATATTACTGCAAAAGACTTTGGAAACTTTATTTAGAATGATACAGTTTACTTTACTGACAGTTTTTCTTTTTTTAAATAATATATATATATATTTTTTTACTTTTTATAAGGTTATAGCCAGGTGTTCATAAAACCTTTAGAAGGTTTAGAAATTATTTATTAAGTCTTCAAATCAATTTTTATTTTATTTTAACAGTAGCATCAATACTTTATACTTTTAAAAATAAATAATCCTGTGTCATTGTACAGATTTTTTTTCCCTATAAGACGAATACAGTTTTGTCTCATGTTTAAATGAATAGTGAAATGTCAGTCTGAGAATTTCACTAGAATTTCCCGGTCTAGTAGCATCCTGGAGCTACTAGATCACAGACCAGTTCTTCAAGCTTAAGGATTTCCTTGGAATTAAGTAATGACCTCTCTTTCTGGATCAGTTTGTTTCCTCCTTTAACTTAAAAAAAAAATCCATCCCAGTTTTATGTATTCAATTATTTATTTAATAGGAAAAATAGGTTCAATTCTGCTTTACAAACGAGAGGATAAACTTTATTAATATATAATAATAAAGTTAATAATAAGTTATATATATATATATATATATATATATATATATATATATATATATATATATATATATATATATATATATATATATATATATATATATATATATATATATATATTTATATATATTTATTTATTACAAACAATAAAAGGATGCAGTGTACATTGCTTACCCTGCAATGATGTAAACAGCAGCACCGAATGCCAGATAATTAGTCTGGTAATAATATAGGTTGCTGTTTAGTCTGTTGTAAAAGTCGGTGAAATTGGTCGGTGTTTTCCAGGCGGGGAAGAACTCTCCCCATGGCCTTAACGGCGGCGGCATCCTGGAGCTTATTCCTCTCACAGACTGCACAGACTGCGGCGCTTGAAACTTTAAAAGATTGCCAATCTCGCGAGAGTCGTTTTGAACTCCGCCTTGCGTGACTGGAAAACTCTCACGCCATTGGTCGGTGAGACGCACGTTTTCTGAAACTCTTCCGGCATCGCTTCACGAGGAGACCAGAGATGATAGAAAGATAATGTTCGATGAAAACTGCGTTGTTGGTGAATGAATTGCGTCGGGTTTCACCCCCCACTCCTGTTCTCCAGAAGCAGTTGATGCTGACATGTTCTGACAGTGTACCAGGTGCTTTGAGACCGTTATTTATGCCGCAGTGACATGCTAGCCCGCTAGCTCCTCATTGACCGCAAGCCGACCCAAACTGAGGGACTTGTTCTCTCTCTGTTTGTGTGTAAATGTGGGGTAGATTTTTCCGGCCTGCTGTGATCAGTCATAGTGTCTGCAGGAGTCTGTTCACCATGCAGCTGAAGACCAGCGAGTTCAAGTCTCTCTTCTCTGATGGGCTGAATGGAATAGCAGGTGAATTCACGATTTGATGGGGAAAAAAACAAACTTGGAGTGGATTCAGTTCAGTTCACAAGTCTGCCAATTAAATGATACGATATTATGTGTTCATTTAACGCAGTCATTTACATATTTGTCAGTTTACAGAAGTTTAATATTTTTTGTTCAAGCATGACTTGACCACTTTATGTTAATTCTGGTATCAGGCACTTAGATTTTAAAAAAGCATATATATTTTTCAAAATTAATGAAAATAGGTCATCTGAAGGCCTATCACGATACCAAATGTTGCCGGACAATAAATTGCTCCAGAAATTATTGCGATAAATTATAATATTGTCATTTTGAAACATTTTTCAACTAATATATTAGAAATGCAAGTTTGCCCTCTGATTTAACATTCACCCTTCTTTCTATCTCAGAAATCATTTGTAACCACTAGTCTTGAGAAGTCAGCTGTGTAGTCTACTTATGTGTCACTATGGTATAAACAAAGCTTTGCTGTATTTGTGCATTTTATTTTTACCTTAAGAAACCTAAAACTCAGGACACTTGATTGTAAGATATTTTGTTACTTTGTCCTCCACTGACCTCAAGCTTTGTGACTTGGTAAAAGCAAAATTACTGCTGTGCGCTTTCTTTTTGGTAATGGGTTGAAAACAGGTCTGTAGTCTAACCTGTTGTGCAAGTTGTTTTTAAAATGTGAAAAAAAAGAAAGACATGGAGCAGATTTTTATTTTAGTTTATTGTAGTTTGGAAAGGAATGCTCTCAACTTTTCATTTATATTCAAGAGAGCCGCCTATTGTGCAGCTAAGCAAGTCTGTATGTTCAGTGTTTTTCAATAACGTTAGATTGGAATATTGAAGTTGTTTTGTAACCTTTATCAGATCTAACAATGTTGATTATACAAAGCAAAAATTTCAAAAAATCGGTATCAGCCAAAATCGGAATCTGTGCATCGCTGCTATTTGAGAATCTGACTTGTAAACAAATCAGAATCTCGTTTCTCCAGAGCTGTTTGAGAAGAACAACTATGAGCTGCGGATCGCCGGCGGCGCTGTGCGGGATCTGCTCTCCGGAAAACGGCCTGAAGACGTGGACTTTGCCACCACAGCCACTCCAGAGGAGATGAAGCGCATGTTTCAAGACGCTAGGATCAGGCTGATCAACAATAAAGGAGAGAAGCACGGCACCATAACTGCACGGGTAAGACACTGAATAGTTTCAATGGCAACAAACACACACAAAAAAATGCTTTTTAGTGATTATTTGAAAAGCTGTCTTCATATCAGCTCTTTTTCTTCAACCTAAAGTGTTAGATTAAGTATCATCGTTCATCCATTTGATCTATTTTTTAACACACCGATCTCCAGCTAACATTTTAGGTGAGACGCCGGGTTCACCCTAGACAGGTCGCCAGTCTGTCGCAGGGGAACACAGAAAACAGACAGGACAAACAACCATACACACACACAGACTCACACCTAGAGAGATTAATTAACCTGACAGTCATAATTTTGGACTGACTCCATGCAGAAAGACCCCGGGCCTGGAATCGAACCAAGGACCTTCTTGTTGTAAGGCAACAGTTCTACCAACTGTATTATAGTCTTGATACTTAAAGGTGTTAAAACTGATGAAAGTTTGTTAAAGCAATATTTCCATCATCTGGCATAAAAGAGAACTTGTTACCAAAGCCGAATTCTTATGAAATCCCTTCGCTGCCAGAGCTGCGTGCATCAATTTCGTTTTTGTTTCCAGAAATAGACGGGTGAATAATTACTGTTTGTTTGGGCAGGAGATCAAAAAAGTTGGAAGTGTCTGCAAATGAGAGGATGGGCAGGAATGTTGCACTTCTAGATATTGTTGGACCAAAGATATCAGGCTGTGAAACAGTTTTCTTCAACTTATTGGACATTGATTTCTTGTCTTCTGTTTCTTAAAAAAGGAATGCACAATCTATTTGATCAACCCCAAGCGTCCATACTCTGTGGTTCTGCATATGTCATTTAGGATGAGTGTTTTTGAGGAATAAAACTCTTGGCAGCTTCATTACATAACTATTAAAAAAAGAGCTGTAGTTGTTGGCTTGTACACTTTGCCTCGAGCTTTCGTTTTAAGGAAAGAAAAATGCGCTTAATTGTTTTACAAACACGCGGCCATGAATGATCAAATAACCAGTTTAATGAATCGAAATTGTAACCATGTGAGTTATTGGCCCATCCTCATAACCAGTCTGATCAGTCAAAAAGTACTTAGTAGATCTGAAGTTTAAAGGGATATTTATTACAGTGGTTCTGCTAGAGTTAATTTAGTTCTCCCCAGATCACAGTTATGCCCCAGATTATTCGTATTACTGTCCCATGGCAACCAACAAGTTTGATTCTGAAAGGAAATAAAACATTTTTCCTTCTTTTGTTTATAACCTTAAGTAGCCCTAACCCTAAAGCATTACTCATAAATATTAGTTTAGAAGCTTTTGCTAAAGAACCAACTGTAATAATATTTATAATATTTTACCTGTTGTATAATGTTCTGAAATATTAATGTTTAAGTATTGTTATTCAATGTCTATTTTATTTTGTCCCTGTATGCTTCTTGTTTGAAGTTATTTGTTCACCCAGTTCAACATAAGAGCACAAACATAAACATCTAACTACTAATTAATTACTAATTACTAATAATTAATTAATAATAATAATAATAATAATTAATAATTACTAATTACTAATCTAACAAACACTAACAGCCATGTTAGTGCTTAGTGCTTTGCTAATATCAGCTAAAGCGCTAAACTAAAAGTCAATCCAGTGCAAATAACCAATTATTATTTTTTAAACTAAATTCTCCTCTGTCATTTTACTGTACCAGCCCATAACAATAGAGGTCTGGCTTTACATGAGGTTTAACGACCATCCTATTAAAGATGTTAAACATCCTGGGCCACTCTCTCTCTCTCTCCTTTTAAAGTGACTCCAGATAAAGTCGAGGGGAGAAATGAGAAGATGTACAGAAAACCTGGAAGCTACATCAGCAATTGCATCATTGCTGATGTAGCTTCATTTCTTCCACTGCCGTTTATGACTGTTGGTTTCATCTCACCGTTCAGCTGCAGGCAGCGTCCCGGCTGTGCGGAGGCTCTCAGAGATATTGAGCAGCAGCATTGAAGCCTATAACGGAGTGTGTGTGTGGAGTGTGTGTGTGCTGCCTCGCATTCCTGATGAAAGTTGATTCTCCTCCTCCTCCTATCCAAACGGCAGATTAACGAATCACCCGGAGCATCAGTTTGAAGTTATGGGACAGCTGAAGTGAATGCAATCAGGGTCTAGCGAACGAAGTGAATTAATGCTTGCTTTATAGTCCAGCTTTAATCTCACTTAAAACGTTCGCTGCAACATAAAATAAAATCTGGATATGATGAGATTTGAAAATGAGTTTTGTTTGCGGCGGCCTGGTGATGGGATGGATAGTGGAAAAACGAAAGGACAGTTAGGCTGCACTGACCGCAGCCTCTGCTGAGAAGGCTGTTTGGACCCAAGAGTTGGTGGGATTGTGATGTGATGCGCTTCACTAGCTGCGTTTTTATTAAAAAATCTGCTAATTTAGGATGTCACGCTGCCAATATTCTGCTTATGTTGAAAAAGCACAATTTTGCAATACCTGTGTTTCCATTGAGCAAGAAATAAAATTAAAAGCACATGTGAATTAACGCTTGTTCACGCTTTAAATCATTAAAAATGGTGGATGTAAACAGCTACATGAGATAGTTATAATTCAGCCGCTAGTGCTCTTCATCTATCAGCCATGAGAGGAGACGTCAACGTCTTATTCAGCCGTTGGAGCAACAAGCCTCTTATACTTGGGAGCGGTTCGGTATGAGGCGTTTTGGGGAAATTGGAGCCAATGATTGGGATTCCAGACGTTCCAATGACACACAACTTTTTATGAACTCTGCGATACCATGAGAGCATCAGCTTTTGAAAAATACCACTTCATGTATTGAGATATTATTTATGAGACCCAGTCTTTTTTCTTTCTTTTTTTTCATTTAATCATTGAAATTAATGAAGTTTTTAACCTTTGTCCTCCTCAGCTGCACAATGAGAACTTTGAGGTGACCACACTGCGAGTGGACGTCGAGACGGACGGCCGGCATGCGGAGGTGGAGTTCACCACCGACTGGCAGAAAGACGCCGAGCGCAGAGACCTCACCATCAACTCCATGTTTCTGGGTAACTCCACTCCCGAACGAAAAAGGAACTTTATCGATGAACGGTGATCATGTTTTAATCCCAAGCGGCCCTCTATGCGTCTGGCAGGGCTCGATGGAACATTATACGACTATTTCAAAGGCTACGAAGACCTCCAGAACCACAAAGTCCGGTTCGTCGGCAGCGTTGAGCAGAGGATAAAAGAAGATTACCTGAGAATACTGAGGTATTTCAGGTAGGCAGCCTCACTCGTGGAAACCGGAAGTGGTGTGTGGTGTGTGTGGTTATTGGTCACGGTGTTGTTGTTTTGTCCCAGGTTTTACGGCAGGGTGGCTTTAAAGGCCGACGAACACGAGCCCGAGACTCTGACTGCCATCAGGGAAAACGGCCGAGGACTGGCAGCCATATCAGGAGAAAGAATCTGGGTGGAGTTAAAGAAGATGATGATGGGGAACCATGCTGCTCATCTGCTGGAGCTCCTCTACAACCTGGACTTGGCTCAGTACATCGGTGAGAGACGTCAGAAACTGCTGACGTGAGAGCAGATTCTGATTCTGGCATTTTTCAAAATATGAAATCTGAGCTGGAATAGTTCATTCAATCTAAAGCACACAAACACAGATCGTAATAGTTGTTACAATTGATGTTCAATGAGATTCAAAATGAATGGAAATAGGTGTTGCATAAATAAAAAGATGCAGACGGAAACTGTTCAACTGATACATGCCTAAAAAAATAGAACCAGGGAGTAAATGATTTCATTTTAAATTCAACTTTTAGATTTTTAGGTCTCTTATTTTTATTATAATTTTTTTCTTATTTACCACTTCACTTTAAAACCTTCACAGAAATGCGTCTAATTCTCCTCGTGGAGTTTCTGTTCATTCCAGTTCTGCTCGTCTCCCTGCCACGCCCCAGGTCTGCCTCCAGATGGCGACATTGACGAGATGAAGCGCGTATGGCGGAACGCCAGCCCCCACTCTCCCAAACCCATGACGGTCCTGGCGGCCCTGTTCCACGGCCCGGGCGACGTGGACAGAATGGACCTGCGCTTGAAGGTGTCCAGGGAGGAGAAGACGCTGGCTCTGTTCCTGGTCAAGCACAGGCGGACGCTCCGCAAGAGCGACGAAGAGCCAGACGACCTCAGACTTTTCACTGACTTTATCATCGATGTAAGTCTGCAGGAACAACCTGATGATGACTGCTGCCTGCGTACCAAACCAATTTTAAGGTTCCATCCCTGTTTTCTTGTAAATTTTTGACCATTTTTATGTGTGGATAGAATCAACCTTCGAAGTTTGATTCTGTGAATTGGCCTCTAAAAACGCTCGCTTGTACAACATATTTAAAGTACATTTAATCTTTTCTTCCTTCTGCTGAGTGTCAGGGTTTAACTGCCAGAGCTGGAAAATAAATTCAGAAGCGTGATAAGATTCAAAACTCCCTGGCACAATTATCGGCACTCCTGACTTTGCCTTTTAAAATAAAGCGACTTATTTTTCAAACTCTTCTTTTTATTTTCAAGTCGATAAAAGTTTGTAGAAAATTAGTGGCACCTGTGATTTTTAAATCTGTCAGAACATATTTGTCAAATCAAAGACGATCCGATATCGGCCAAAAGATGAATATCTGTTGGACTGTTTAAATCTTTTACTACATTCATTGTAAATAATGTCATATCTGTAACATCTCGCACTATCCAGAGCCGGGAGCCGGACTCTCAGAGCAAAGTGTGTGAGCTGCTGAAGTATCAAGGTGAGGAGAAGCTGCTGTCGGAGCTCCAGAGCTGGTCGGTGCCTCGCTTCCCCGTCAGCGGCCACGATCTGAGGAAGCTGGGCATCACATCTGGGAAGGAAATCGGCACCAGCCTGCAGGAGCTCCGTGACATTTGGAAGAAAAGTCGATACCAGATGGATAAAGACGAACTGCTGAGTCACGTGAAGCTTTGAATAAAACAGGAACTGGTCGCCACGGTGGTTCAAATAGCCGAGCCCAAGTGTTATTTAAGTAGTTCTTTTTATTTTAGACAAAGGGAAAAATAACCCTAAAGAAAATTTTTTTTTGTTACTTTTTAACTGCACTGCAGCCAGACATGGTTAGAGCAGCCGAAGCACATTGTGAATCAGGACACTATGAAAGGAAGACATGCGTATGGACTTATCGCGCGCGTTTGGCTACTTTTTTCCGTTTTCATTTTTAATGCTTCTGCATTAAAATCTGCACAAGCAGCACTTTGGGCAGGTATATGTGGCTTTGCAGCTGTCTGCTTTGAAGTTTCTCTTTTAAAAAAAAAAGTCTGGCGATGCTTCAACCCTCCTTTCACCACACCTACGAAGACAATACGTAGCAGCACGGGTTTTTGCTGGTGGGATAAAGTGCTTCGTCCAGTTCCTCGTACAAGTATGTTGTCATGTTGGAACCACAAACTCCAGTCGATCTGTGTAGGATTTCATTTTACAGGCTGACATAATGATGGTGGATTGTTTTAGAGTGGAAGGAAACTCCACTCTGCTGCTTCTAGTTTTCAAGATGATTTAACTAGAAATCAACATGTGAACGTTGTGCTCTTGCTGATTGTTAAAGTAAGGACATTATTCTAAGAATAACCCAAAGGTTTCTGATTTGTTTGTTTTGTTTTATTTGACAATATTGCTTCCAATAAATCCTTTTCAAATACTTTATAGTGAAATATGGTGATGATTGCAATTTGAGATTCATACACAACAGGGTGAATTTACAATAAGATCTACTGAACTCTCATTCTTCAAAAATGTTACATTTAAAATAAGATCTGAAAATAAATTGGATTCGTTTTAAAAAGGGGGACTGAAGATGCGTCTTGAGCATTTTATCTTTTCGTTTGTTTATTTCCAAAAGGTGATACTTTGAAATGCTTTCATCCCATTTTCTCTCTACCTTCTCTGGTTGGAAAAGACTCGCTCCTCCCTCTGGAGATATAAAACCATCTGCTCTCGCCTCTCCGCTCCCCAGTTTCCTCGGACCAGCTTCCCAGTTATTGAACAAAAGAAAAAAAATGGTCCTCGGTCTCCTACGGCCGCATTTTGACTTTTCATTAAGCTCGATGAGTTTCATTCCGCCTGCTTTGTGTCGTGTAACATTCAAACGTCTCTCCACTTGGGTCTGCTGCGTAATGCCGCGGGCCCCCTCTGGCCAGCGCTCGTCGCAGTGACCGGCATGGCGTGGTCCGGCGCGAACGCCAGCAACTCCAGTTCGGACGCCGTCCCGGCCGGGGACGAGCCCCGCGACGAGCGGCTGGCTCGCCTGGAAATCGCCCTGCTCTCCGTCATCTTCGTCGCCGCGGGGCTCCTGAACTTCGGGCTCCTGCTGGGGCTGTTGAAGCGGCGGAAGCAGCTCTCCAGGATGCGCGTCTTCGTCCTGCACCTGTGCGTCGCCGACCTGGTGGTCGCATTCTTCCAAGTGTGCCCGCAGCTCATGTGGGACATCACGGACAGATTCGTGGGCCCGGACGTCCTGTGCCGCCTGGTGAAGTACCTGCAGGTGGTCGGGATGTTCGCCTCCACCTACATGATCGTGGTGATGACCATCGACCGCTACCAGGCCGTCTGCAACCCCATGGTGACCTTCCAGCGGAGGAGGGCGCGCTGGAACGGCCCCGTGTGCGCCGCCTGGTGCGTCTCCTTAGTCGGCAGCCTCCCGCAGGTCTTCATCTTCTCCCGGGTCGAGGTCACCCCGGGGGTCTACGACTGCTGGGCCCAGTTCGTGGCCCCGTGGGGGTTGAGGGCCTACGTGACCTGGACCACTCTGGTGATATTCGTCCTGCCGATCCTCATCGTGATCGTGTGCCAGGTGCGCATCTGTCGCGCCGTGCACGCCAGCATCCACCTGAAGACGCAGCACCACGCCGCGGCCAGCGGGGAGGCGGCGAGCCGGCCGCTGTCCTCCCGGGCCAGCTGCGTGGTGGGGCTGTCCAAGGCGCGGGTGAAGACGGTGAAGATGACCGTGGTGATCGTGATGGCCTACGTCGTCTGCTGGGCGCCGTTCTTCACCGTGCAGCTCTGGTCCGTCTGGGACGCCGAGGCGCCCACCGAGTGTAAGAGACTCACTGAGCCCATAATGTCTACTGAGCTCTCTCACTTCCTCTCACTTTGCATCCCCAAACCTAAATGCATTTTTAATAGAATAAACCGACAGAAAGTGATGCGTAAAGTGGGGGAGAGAAGGGGCATTAGAATATTTTGACCTGCAAATCCTTTTGACTTAATGAGGTTGACCTGAATGGTAAATGGTTTAGACACCCCTCAAGCAGAATGAGAAGAAAACTCGTTTTTTTTAAGTAAAAAAAAAAAAATCTTAAAAGTGTGGCAGCTCTCCCAGACTTTTCTTTGCATAATTATCTTGTGCTTCAAATACAGCTGTAAGAAGCAGCTGTAGTTGTATTTGTACATCTGATAGACTTATGAGGTTTGCCAGTTTTGATCAACAGATTCTATGATTGTCTTATTTGCAAGATCGTCTAACCTCCATTGGATTGGTTGATGTGACTCCGACCGGTCTCTTAAAAGTAACACACACTTCATTTCAACCCAAACACTTCCAATTTGATTTGATGAAACTTTTATAGGTGGCCTGTTTTTCTTCCTTGAACATCTTAGATTATAGATCCTAAACATTTTTTGTACAAAATATTCGGTTCAGTTCTGCATGTTTTGAGCTCCTTTCAGAATGAGGGCATCCTGTCACTTTAAACCCAAATAATTTGCTTCTGCTAAAGTGATCCCTTTCGAATCTTTTAAGCCTTCACGTTTTATCGCTTGTTTCCACACGACTTCCAACTTGTAATTATGAAGCAAACGCCATCTATTCAGTATTTCCTGTCTCTCTGCCTCTCTCTCCAGCGGCCACCTTCACCATCCTGATGCTGCTGGCCAGCCTGAACAGCTGTGTGAACCCCTGCATCTACCTGGTGTTCAGCTGGAAGCTGCCCGAGAGGCTGGCGGCCCTCGCGTGTGCGGACGAGCCCGACTTGAAGGAGTCCATGCAGGAGGAGGCCACCATGGTCAGCTCCCTGTACATCAGCCTCAAAGGCCTGTCAGACTGCAGGTAGAAGGCAGACTGAGAAAAAGGAAAGCAAAAAAACAAAACAAAAATCTGCATTATCGACAGTTAAATTCCTTTGCTACTGGAATCTATGTTTGCATGGCTACATGGATGTTCTTGGTTATCTGTGGAAAAGATATTTTTTCAAAGCAAACTTTGTTGAGAAATCTCAACATTCCCGATCAGATTCTGTTGGACTGTTCTGATACTGGAAGAAGAAAAAAATAATATTTTGAAAGTGGCTACAATAATCTGGGAGCGGGGCCGTGCATCGACAGATTAAGAGTCTGCTTGTTCTTCTTTGCTGCCGTAAGATACCTCTGCTTTCTGTGACGGGCGGCGTGTTTGGGGCCACGGTAGATAGAAAAAAGAAAACAGGAGTAAATTTCTCCCCAAAATCTCAGAGATTTTGAAAATTCATCTCAGTAAATTTATAGAAGTTTCTGTTCCAAAAGTTAAAAAAAGAAGAAAAAAAAGTGAGAAAATTCTCAGAAATTTTGAGACTAATCTTGAAAAAACTGGGAAATTTCCAAGTTTGAAAAGTGGATTTTTTTTTACTTTGAAATCTCAGAATATTTAATTTTAATCTTTTTAATTTCAAAGTTTAAGAGCTTTTTGGTGGAAATACCCTTCTTCATTAATATTGGCCCTAATAGTTTTTCTACGCAGATCATAGCAGAGAGTAAAAAGAATAACTTTAAATGCTAACAAAGTGTTACAGGTTGGTTCATCCCCTTTCAGGCTGACAACCTGCTTTCAGAGCTAATATAAAGATGGGAATATCTGCACTGAACAACAAAATTTGGCTCCAGTAGCATGAACAAAAAGACTTTGTGTTTTTTTTTAACACAAAACTATATCTGACTTATGAGATGAATGAAATCTTTGCCGTTTCTTTTTTATCTATTAGAAAAGAGACTAATTAGAATCTCTGCTGGGGGCAAAAGCAAAACTTCCAACAGGCAGTGGACTATTGGAGGCAGGCAACTACAATATAAAACTTTCACTTCATATTTGTCTCTTTTTTGCCAGGAGTAATTTTTAGACACAAAAAACAACACACACACACACACAAAAAAAAAAAAAAACAGAATTGAGGAGGGAATGATTAACATGTGCAATAAGTGAAGATCTACAGAAGAAAATTGCTTTCATGCCTGGATATATACTCTGCTCTCCAACGCTTTATGAATATTTTACTGCATATTCATCATAAAGCCCAAGCCTGACAACTAGAAAACGTTCACTCTCTCTCTCTCTCTCTCTCTCTCTCTCTCTCTCTCTCTCTCTCTCTCTCTCTCTCTCTCTCTCTCTCTCTCTCTCTCTCTCTCTCTCTCTATATATATATATATATATATATATATATCTATATATCTTATATATCTATATATCTATATATATATATATATATATATATATAATATATATATATATATATATATATATATATATATATATATATATATATATATGTATATATCTATCTATCTATCTATCTATCTATCTATCTATCTATAGATATATATATATATTTATATATATAAAATCAAAGTTGTCTTTGATTTTATATATATATATATATATATATATATATATATATATATATATATATATATATATATATATATATATATATATATATATATATATATATATATAGATATATGTATATATATATATCTATCTATCTATCTATCTATCTATCTATCTATAGATATATATATATATTTATATATAAAAATCAAAGTTGTCTTTGATTTTATATATATATATATATATATATATATATATATATATATATATATATATATATATATATATATATATATATATATATATATATATATATATATATATATATATATATATATATATATATAAAATCAAAGATAACTTTTTGGGGAGCGTAAAAATTCCCGTCCAGTCATGTTAAGAAGTATTTGTTTTGGTTGATTTTCATGTTTACAGATTTTGTATTTTATTTTTATTCGCTTATGTCACAGACAGCCGACATTTTCTAGTCATTGTCTTTCATTTAGTGTGTTTTGCATGTACATATGTACATATGTCTGTACATATAGCAGAACTGTTGATGTTTGTCACCCTCGACCTTTGACACGCTCTGTTGCGGATTATTGATACTTCAACTTGTTTACGTTTCGGCGCGTCGCCAAGCGATTCAGCTCAGAGTCACTGCAATTTCTTGTGTACTTAATAGCATCTTGAATAGTAATAGTGATAAAGAAAAAAAAGAAACAGAAGTCATAGTTGAAATAATTTCCTCTCTGTAGAAAATGGCAAAAATGCCATCATTTCCTTATTTTCTCTGTTTAATGACTGTGGTTTGTGTTGTTGTGTAACTGCTGCTGTTCTGAGCCGCCTTGCCTTGCTTATGGACTTCTTGTAAAAAAAAAAGTGTTTTTTGGAGGCTTCTTATTTTCTTGTGACATAAACATCACTGCGGTTCTGCTGTAGGTGCAAAATTGCGATATGTTGCATTATTCCTGGATGGAATAATGCAGCATATAATTTAAAGATTCTGTCAGCGCAGCTTGGAAATATTAGAAAGAAATTGCAGTACGCGGCGGATCGCCCAGACATGAAAGGCTATGTGCTTTGGATTGGACCAAAAAAACCCCCAACAACCTCACAATCTTATTTTCTGTCTGGAGGAAGAACGCCATATTTCTGGGAAACTGCTCTGTAGCATCATCATCGTGGACATCAGCATGAAAAACCGCCTCCGTTCCTCCAGAGCTGGACCCGGACGTGAGGAGATCCGTGAAACTCTCACCGCACGCATGCAGCGTGTTTGTCTTTCTTGGACAAGATCTGTGTTGGGAGCCTTGAAATAGGAATGCTGTGAGAGTCACAGTGCAGCATAAAACCCGGCTTCATATTGTCCATGACTCCTTTGTTTGGTTGGAAGCTCTAAGGTGAAAATGTGGCTGAAGCACTGCAGCCGCCTCAACAAAATCTTACCAAGTGTTTTCGGTCAAATATATGAGCACACTTGAAATAAGAGAAAAAAAAAACCTAACTCACAAGTGACTTTGCAGCATGATTTAGGCGCTTGTTTTAAGTCAATAATTCCTGAATATTGATTAAAAAAAAAGTGTAAGTCCCCTGTTAGTAGCACAATCTGCCAGTGGAACCAGAACCTTTCCATCAATATTAAGAAATTATTTAAACAAGCTTCCACATCTTGCTGAAATGTTGCTTGTAAGTTGGTTTGTCGTATTTAACGTGTACACTTTGATGACATTTTGTTATTTTGCACTGTAATAAAACAAGTTCTGGTGGAGCATCAATAAAGTTGACAACTGGAGCAGGAAGTAAATATCATCCCACAGGAACCTCTCCTGCCACTGTTGTTGGGAAATCTGAAAACTTAGCAGAAACACAGAAATGACGCCAAACTCCTGCTGAACGCATCTGCATTTATATGTTCACGCTGTAAAAATAATATCTTATGCATGTTGCCAGATCCCTGTTTGATTGGAAACTATTTCATTTTTATCAGCAGCAAACTGACTGGCAACTGGCAGCACACACTTAAGATAAGCAGCTGTACTAAAACAACTCAAAGTCACACGCCTCAATAAAGGTCATCAACACGCTGAACAGACGGGTTTGTAGCCTCGATTCACAGGAGCTCGATGGTTTGGCCGTTTTGTGGTTTTCTTGAAGTTTGTTCCAGATTTGAATTACTCACATTTAGATGCATGCAAACCTTACAGGGAATGGAGAAAATTCTAGTCATCCCAAACTTCACGCATCATGTTAAAGCCAACTGGAGAAATCTCTGCTGATGAGACAAAGTTACTGAAATATCAAAAACAACCCAATTTATTTTCAAATGCAGATACTGTGTTATAAAAAGAAATTCTATGTATCATCACAAAACGTTGTGAATTGGTGATATTGTGGTTTAATGTACTGACCCAGACGTTAGCCATGCTGGATATTCACTGAAAATACCCCAACTGCATCATTCATCAGTGCTGTACTTCCTATATCTTTAAGTTTTAAAATATAATAAAACATAATTAATAGTAGAAAGTCAAATGCCGACCAAAAGAAAAATTAACAAAAAAACAAACAAACAAAAAAAACCCATTAGGACTTGCAAGCACCGACCCCCAATTTAACAACAAAGCGGCTGCAACCAGCAGCTGCAGGGGGAGATAACTTGGTCTCCACCTCCTCACCTCAGCAAGTAAAGAGAAAAAAAAGAGGAAAAAAAAGAGAAAAAAAGAAGATCTTCTGAGACACAAACAGAGCTTCAGCTCAATAGCACCAGTTGTCTAACTGCTGAGCTCCCTCTGCCACTTGTTCCTCCTTCTGGTTTGTGTGCAGAACACGTACAGAGAAGAAGCAGCTTTTGTGACTGAAAGTGAACCAGATGAAATGATTTTCTTGCCACTGTGTAAGTGACAACTTATGACAAAATCGGGCAACAGTTCTTAAAAAAACGATCAAGCGGTGAAAAATCGATGAAAACATCTTGCATAATTGCAGCAGAATAAAATGCAGAATCTTCGCAGCGGGCTGGCTGCTCATCTTAAAGTTTCTTGAAGTGGTCTGAGGATTCTTTGGTGATTTTCTTAGAGATGGATGGAAAATCCACCTATAATTCCATCATGATATTTTATAGAAACTTCAAGCTGAAACAGCTACTTGTTTGCCACGCCACTTATCCAGGGCCGCCATTTATTTTCCTTGATGCTGATTGGCTGAGCCCCAGACAGCCTCCAGTTGCTAGCTTCTGCAGTAGTGTTAAGAATGTTTCCATCCTGTGTATTAAGCTATATTTCGTGTTTGAACTATAAAAAGAAGTTGCTATGAGCATTTTTAGAGCGCATGTCAAGTATTTTCAGATTTTAGCTCCTGGGAGACAGCCGTGACCCCCCACTGGTCCCCTGATGTGCACACAGCTGCAGTATGAGGCTGAACTGTCAGCGCACTCTTGACCTCAGCTCTATTAAATTTTGTCGTTGGAAATGGAAATTTTATTCAGTTCCTTCAGAAAAAGAAAAAGTGTAGTCGGTGTTTTTTTGAGGAGGTGGGAGATCTGCAATCGGA